TACTTGTATTAACTCTAATAGTTATTTACGATATAAGTGGGATAAGAGCTTTATTAACGTACACATGCGAAATTTGCCCAACGAGTGCGTAGCACGAGTTGGGCAATCGCAAAAGTAAGTTAATAAAGCGTTATCACACGTATATTGTACAAATTTTTATGTACGCCTCTAAATGAAAAAATAAACGGTAATTATTTTTGTCTAAGACTTAATTTAGGGTTATTTTGACATTTTGACTTTTTTATTTGATTGGTTAAAAACAGAGAAAAACGCGTGCGTTAATGAACTTCTTATCTCACTCAAAATGAGTGGGATAAGAAGTTCTTATCTCACTGGCGTAGATAAAATATCTTAACAGACTGTAAAAAAATAATAGAAAACCTTTATTAACACTCTGACAGCTATTTCAGTTGTTTAAGACTGACAGTTCATACTAGAGTGGGGCCGCCCTAATTTTATTGGATAAAGCGCATCAGGCCACTTGATAATTTTAAATAAAAATACGTCAAGTGTTGATTACCTATTTTAAATACCTATACTAAATTTAATCAAATATTCTTATACGGAAAGATAAATCTTAAAATTGAATTTTGAAGGGCTTGTCTTGTCTTGTCTTTTCTGAGGAAGTTTTGAAGAAAATAAAACAATGCATATTTTTTAGTGAAATCCTGGGCGGAAAAAGTGAAACAACCCCTGTATGTACGCCAATGGACAATTTTGACAAAAGTTACTTGGGTCAAGTAACGAGTATCTATTTACTAAGTACATGTATCAAAGTTGGTAAAAAACGCTTTAGCGATCTTAGAGTTAGAGTTATGACAAAAAAAAAGATATTTAAAACTGAACTTTGCAGTACTGTATGTATTTTTTAAACTCAATTATCTCGTAAACAAAGCCTTAAATCAAAATTTGACAAGAGTGGCTTTTTGTCTCAAAATTGAACAAGGAATTAGAAAAATAGGTCAATTTAAACCAATATCCAGTGGCGTAAAAAATGGGGTGGAAAAAGTGAAACAACCCCCCTGTATCTACGTCACTGGACAATTTTGACAAAAGATACTTACGTCAGGTAACGAGTACCTATTTCATAAGTACTTGTACCAAATTTGGTCAAAAACGCTTTTATTTCCTGAGAGTTATGACAAAAAAAAGATTTTTAAAACTCAACTTTGAAGGGCTGTATCTCCCTTAGGAGGGGTTTTGGAGAAAAAAATTACCATGCATGTCGACTTATTTTTCGATGGACTATCGAATGGTGAATTATTGCTACTATAACCTGGACCACCCTGTATATAACCATATACCTAAATCCAACCGTTTCTGAAATATTCGCATTTGAAAGGTAATCATCAAATATTTTTTTTAACGGTTACAAATCAAGAAGCCTTAGTATAACAAAATCCTTATTGAAAATAAATAATCATAGTGACATTATGTCAATTTGTCTTGTTAAGTAAGTAAAAATGGCGTACTCAGACAGAGAAAGACAAACTATTTTAACTTATTATCTTAAAAATAATTTAAATATTTCGGAAACGGTTGAATTTAGGTATATGAATTATGCTTAGAATTTTACTATGAATCGAAAAATAAATTCATATATGTATAGCGTTATGCATTGAGAAACTTTTTTATACGTAGAAAAAAGGTATTAGTATATACATATCTACACTTTTAAATTTTTTGGGACATTTAAAATAAAAAAGTTAACGGGGGCATTATAGGGGATCACCCTGTACCATGCCATACATAGAAGGATACTTGGCGCACCCTTTATATTTAAATATTATTATTTCTTAATTTCAGAATGACGGAAACAAGGTAGAATACAGAGTATGGAATCCCTTCAGAAGTAAATTGGCTGCTGCAATTTTGGGCGGAGTAGATAAAATTCACATGCCCCCAGGCTGCAAAGTTTTGTACTTGGGCGCCGCCTCCGGAACCACAGTGTCTCACGTATCAGATGTAGTAGGGCCAGAGGGTCTCGTATACGCAGTAGAATTCTCACACAGATCGGGGAGAGATCTGATAAACGTGGCGAAAAAACGTACAAACATAATCCCCATTATCGAGGACGCCCGACACCCGCACAAGTACCGAATGTTGATCGGCATGGTCGACACCATCTTCGCCGACGTGGCGCAGCCGGACCAGGCCAGAATCGTGGCCTTAAACGCGCAATACTTCCTCAAAAACGGCGGCCACTTCGTCATCTCCATCAAGGCTTCTTGCATCGATTCGACGGCGCAGCCCGAGGCCGTCTTCGCGGCGGAAGTTAAGAAGCTGCAGACCGACAAATTGAAGCCTCAGGAACAGATCACGTTGGAACCTTACGAGAGGGACCACGCCGTGGTGGTGGGCGTTTTTAGGCCTCCGCCGAAGAATTGAGTTTTAGTTTTTTAAGTAGCTCATAGGAAACTAATTTTGTATTGTTGACTTCAATATTTGCCTTATTGAGTTTAATTTTAAGTGGTTAGACGGTATGTTATTTAGATTAGAGTTTCTTTGTCGATTCGGCTATGAAGGGACTCTAACCTTGTGTTAATGTACAAAGCAAAATACACTGATTAAACCTGTATTTGAATATTATATAATACTATAAATCAAAACAGATATATTTTATTTGGATTAACAATTTCTGTATTTTTATACAAAATTATTTGTTAATACACTTTAAGTAAGTTATGTTGTTTTTTCATTTTTGCCCATCAAGTAGGAATCCTATTTTCATAATGACAATGTAAGATGATGTAAACTAAATAAGGATTAAACAACCCATCGAGAACCTACTCAATGTAATAAAAAAAATTTGAAATATTTTTGAAAATTCCTTTTAATTTATGGGGAATTCCACGCCACTTTTGAACCAAGCCCTTCTAATTTGGCAGAATTTTTTTTCTACCCCACTAAAAAATTTGTTCTCAAATTTTTTTACCCAACAAAAAAATAGGCTCTTTTGTTAAAATACCCATAACATTTTTAAAAATTGACTAAATGGGAAGTTTTTTTTTAATTTGTTCTTTAATGTAGATAAAATTTTATACTTTTTAGTTTTTTTGAAAAAAACATCAATTAATTTATTCATTCATAAAAAAAATTCGATAAGTTCTCCGAATTTTGCTGCTTAATCCAGAGTGGGCTGACTTTTTATATATTCTTTAATTAAAAATTTATTTTTTAAATTTTTTCTAAATTGTTTATTTTCTTATAAAAACTTGATTTTATGGTTAATACGATTAACAATAATTTACGGAACCCATGTTGAACCCTCTTATAAAGTTTTTAATTAATTATTTCGAATTATCGTTCTTCAGTTTAAGGTTTACAACAATACGTTATATTATTTTTTTTTGGTCCTTTTTATTAAAAATAAAACATTAATTCGTTTATTATTCTTTTTCTCGAAAACGGGTCATTTTATTGACAATAAACAAGAGTACCTTTATTTTAGTTTAAGGTTCAAGCTATGCAGATTTAGTTTTTTTAAGTCTTTCTCATACGGGGTGTTCAAAATTTAAGCATTAAGAAGTAAAACTTAAGACGTGGCGCAGCCGGACCAGGCCAGAATCGTGGCTTTAAACGCGCAATACTTCCTCAAAAACGGCGGCCACTTCGTCATCTCCATCAAGGCTTCTTGCATCGATTCGACGGCGCAGCCCGAGGCCGTCTTCGCGGCGGAAGTTAAGAAGCTGCAGACCGACAAATTGAAACCTCAGGAACAGATCACGTTGGAACCTTACGAGAGGGACCACGCCGTGGTGGTGGGCGTTTTTAGGCCTCCGCCGAAGAATTGAGTTTTAGGTTTTTAAGTAGCTTATAGGAAACTAATTTTGTATCGTTGACTTCAATATTTGCCTTATTGAGTTTAATTTTAAGTGGTTAGACGGTATGTTATTTAGATTAGAGTTTCTTTGTCGATTCGGCTATGAAGGGACTCTAACCTTGTGTTAATGTACAAAGCAAAATACACTGATTAAACCTGTATTTGAATATTATATAATACTATAAATCAAAACAGATATATTTTATTTGGATTAACAATTTCTGTATTTTTATACAAAATTATTTGTTAATACACTTTAAGTAAGTTATGTTGTTTTTTTATTTTTGCCCATCAAGTAGGAATCCTATTTTCATAACCATAACGAAAATGACAATGTAAGATGATGTAAACTAAATAAGGATTAAACAACCCATCGAGAACCTACTCAATGTAATAAAAAAAATTTGAAATATTTTTGAAAATTCCTTTTAATTTATGTGGAATTCCTCGCCACACGAATTTTTTTCTACCCCACTAAAAAATTTGTTCTCAATTTTTTTTACCCAACAATAAAATAGGCTCTTTTGTTCAAATACCCATAACATTTTTAAAAATTGACTAAATGGGAAGTTTTTTTTTTAATTTGTTCTTTAATGTAGATAAAATTTGATGTAAAATTTTATACTTTTTTTTAGTTCTTTTGAAAAAACATCAATTAATTTTTTCATTCAAAAAAAAAATCGATTATTCTCTGAATTTTGCTGCTTAATCCAGAGTGGGCCGACTTTTTACATATTCTTTAATTAAAAATTAATTTTTTAAATTTTTTCTGAATTGTTTATTTTCTTATAAAAACTTGATTTTATGGTTAATACGATTAACAATAATTTAATTTTTGTTACACCAATTTAACACACGATTCATTTTTTTATCCACATATTACATAAGCCTTGTTGTTATAATGGTTTGTGACCCATTCTGAAGGTAATAAAACTAGTGTCCTATAATTATAGGATGGATTAATCTATCCATAGGACACTAGTATTTTATGACAATTAATAAGACAAACTATGATATTTATTGCCACTTACAATAAGTTAAAAAAAATTTGGGGTTTAAATAATTCACATATATTATGCTCATTTGAATTCGAAAAATTTCGTGGAAAAAGACAGCGGCATTAATCCCCATTATCGAGGACGCCCGACACCCGCACAAGTACCGAATGTTGATCGGCATGGTCGACACCATCTTCGCCGACGTGGCGCAGCCGGACCAGGCCAGAATCGTGGCTTTAAACGCGCAGTACTTCCTCAAAAACGGCGGCCACTTCGTCATCTCCATCAAGGCTTCTTGCATCGACTCGACGGCGCAGCCCGAGGCCGTCTTCGCGGCGGAAGTTAAGAAACTGCAGACCGACAAATTGAAACCCCAGGAACAGATCACGTTGGAACCTTACGAGAGGGACCACGCCGTGGTGGTGGGCGTTTTTAGGCCTCCGCCGAAGAATTGAGCTTTAGTTTTTAAGTAGCTCATAGGAAACTAATTTTGTATCGTTGACTTCAATATTTGCCTTATTGAGTTTAATTTTAAGTGGTTAGACGGTATGTTATTTAGATTAGGGTTTCTTTGTCGATTTGGCTATGAAGGGACTCTAACCTTGTGTTAATGTACAAAGCAAAATACACTGATTAAACCTGTATTTGAATATTATATAATACTATAAATCAAAACAGATATATTTTATTTGGATTAACAATTTCTGTATTTTTATACAAAATTATTTGTTAATACACTTTAAGTAAGTTACCTGGTTTTTTTATTTTTGCCCATGAAGTAGGAATCCTAGGATTAGCTATTTTCATAATCATAACAAAAATGACACGAAGTTATGTTGTTTTTTTATTTTTTCCCATCAAGTAGGAATCCTATTTTCATAATCATAACGAAAATGACAACATAAGACGATGTTTTGTATACACTAAATAAGTTTGTGTGTTTGTTCTGATTTGGCAGAATTTTTTTTCTACCCCACTAAAAAATTTGTTTTCAAATTTTTTTACCCAACAAAAAATAGGCTCTTTTGTTCAAATACCCGTATTTTAAAATTTGTTTTTTAATGTAGATAAAATTTGATGTCAAATTTTATACTTTTTTTAGTTTTTAAAAAAAAACATCAATTAATTCATTTATTCATAAAAATACTTCGTCGATTAGTTCTGCGAATTTTGCTGCTTAATCTTTTCTAAATTGTTTATTTTCTTATAAAAACTTGATTTTATGGTTAATACGATTAACAATAATTTAATTTTTGTTACACCAATTTAACACACAATTTATTTTTTTATCCACCTATTACATAAGCCCAGTTATAATGGTTTGTGACCCATTATGAAGGTAATAAAACTGTCCTATAATTATAGGACATAGGACAATTAATAAGACAAAATACGTTAGAATTCAATCTTATTTACATATATAGGTAGTTATATTTTATTTATTACCACTTGCAAAAAAAAATGGCGAAATTAAATATTTCTATAGATCTTTTAATTAGGTACTAATTTAACCTTTTTTGTTTAGGGTAAAAAAATTGGAAAATATTTTGAAAAACTTTTTAGTGTGGGTAGAAAAATATTTTAAAAAAATCAGCCCAACTGAAAGGGGTTGGGTTTAATTAAACCCAACCCAACCAGTTGGCTTTTAAAAGTGGTCGATTTGGCGTTGAATGACCCATATATCCTCTGTAAACAAATACTTTTTTAAAAACGCATAATTCGGATTGTGTTGGTTATAATTGAATACAATTTAATTTAATTGGATAAAAGAAAAAATTCTGTTTTATTTATAAGTCAAGTCCAACTAAACCATATAATCGTTGAGTTATAACTACATTACACTGATAAAAAAATGGGACAAATAAACTGTGTAGCTAATACTTTTATTAATAGTGAATATATTGTTTATTACCTCTAAATAGTGAAAATAATAACGATAAATATACTTTAGTAAAACTTTATGTGTCGGGAATAAAAATATATTCAGAATAAAGAAACTGTACCCTTGTCCCATATTTAAATATTTTTTTTATTTGGGAGCAATAAACTTTTTTCTCAGTGTAGTTACCCGTACAACATTCATGAGTTCATGAACCACCTCATGTCATGACTTCACGGTTTTGTGCTCGTGTAGAACTCATGATGAGTTCAGAGTCATGATAAGTTCACGGCATGATCCGCCGTGATGTCTTTTGAATAGTCGCGCTTCGAAGATCTCCACCGGCTGCGCATATGAATGCGCATGGAACAAGCTGTGTCATCTTTGCCCGATTGTTTTATTTGTTTAAGTGGTTGTAATATTCTGTTTCTAATAATTATTTATAAAAGTTTATAATTATAATAAGTGCATAAGATCGTGTTGGGAAGAAGAAGGTAAGTTTCGTTTTTTTTTGTTTAATTTAAACATGTGACATATATATGTCCTCGCTTATTAAATTATTTGACAGTCGGTTTGTTTTCAAATTTACATTTTACTTATTCATGAATTTATTAAGTATTATATTGGTTTTTTGTTAACAAAATTAATAATTATTTATTAAATAATAATTATTAATAATTTAACCTCAAAATATAACCTAGGTTTTTTTGTAATGTCTGCAAAATTGAAACGTGTGAAATACGAACGTTAATTAAATTTATGTGAAATGTTTATCTGGGTTTATAATTTATGTGCGTGATTAATATAGGCATTAAATGCAAATTTTGACAATTAACGGCAAGAAACTTATTGAATAATGACAGCACAGCTGAGTGCAATCGAAGCCAAAATTTATACCTGTGGTTCGTAGAAATGCATTGTACTATTTTCTATTTTACAGAAGCTGCCATGGACTGCACAAGGTCCATCAGACATGTCCGAATTTAAAGAACATGTAGAAGAGGTATTTAGGACTACAAAACAACGATACCTTGCGAAACAAAAGAACCATGGCTTGCAAAAAAAACCCAAGAGTCAGCAGGGACCACATAAGTAATTTTTTTTACAAAATTTGCTTTTTAATTAACTAATAAACAACTATAAAAATATGCAATTTGTTTTTTAATTTTAAATTTTTTTACCTTAAACAATAATTGAATCTCTCGTTTCAAAAACGACATAGGTTACTTTTTTACAAAATTCGCTTTTTACCATGAAACGCTTCTACATGTTATGCATTCTACATGTAGAAGCTGTTGTGGTAAAAAATGAATTTGACTTGGTCGTTTTAAGAACGAGCGATTCAATTGATTATTGATTTAAAAATTCGCGGGGATTCCTGAATCGTATGCGCATGCGCGCTACCCAATTTTTGGATCCTGGCTCATGACATGACCACAACATGAGATCGCTATGAGGACTCATATGTATGCTTAAATGAAGTCATGGCATGACTTATAAATCATGACTTGACGTCCATATGAGTACAATATGAAATCAAAAATGTTGTGCGGGTATAAGACAGGACAAACTAATTTAACAATATTTGTATGGGTTTGTTGGCTAATTTGCCATTAAAGTAGCAAGCAATCATTTTTTTAGATTTTCTTTTGTAAAATTATGTTGTTAACAAATTTATCTGATAAAATATTTGTGTAAACAAAATTTTCAGATTAGCATTGATTTTATATTGATAAATCTTAATTCATAACACTAGGCAACAAATTTTAACTTGAAAAAATTTTCTGAAGTCGTAAATAAAAAATAGGAGCACAGTATTATGGTACCATTTATTGCATAGATACACCATTTGAAAATTTTAGGATGACGTTACTTTTAACTTATATTTCAGCATTCCATGAACAACATATCTGTACATATTGTAAAAATTTAAGGCATGTTTTTTTGATGTTTACTGTTTTTTATCGTTCAAATTATTTTGTTTATTTATTTTTATCGTTATTATTTAACAATTTTTCTTTGTATCATGGTGCTGCCCGTATCGTCTAAAAGAGACTTTGGAAAATATTTTGGTCGCCGGATTTGCGTCGAGCAGGTGAAAATCTATAGGACTGTGCTATTTTTATTACCGACCTTTTTTATTTACTAATTTTTATCGTTATTATTTAACAATTTTTCTTTGTATCATGGTGCTGCCCGTAACGTCTAAACGAGACTTTGAAAAATTTTTTGGTCGCCGGATTTGCGTCGAGCAGGTGAAAATCTATAGGACTGTGCTATTTTTATTACCGACCTTTTTTATTTACTAATTTTTATCGTTATTATTTAACAATTTTTCTTTGTATCATGGTCCTGCCCGTATCGTCTAAACGAGACTTCGGAAAATTTTTTGGGCGCCGGATTTGCGTCGAGCAGGTCAAAATCTATAGAACTGAGCTATTTTTATTACCGACCTTTTTTTATTGTTTACTAGTGTAATCCTTAAATTTAGGAAATTGTAATTCATATATTAATTTACTTACCTTTTTTATCTTATTTTAATAATTATTTTAAAATTATCAATTTGCAATAAAACAAAATAAATAATTTGCTTTCTAATATATTTTATTAAATATAATTTAGGTATAAATAAAAATATATGGTCAACCCACTCAAAATATTGCGTTATTTGAACTCATGTTTAATAAACACTTCAATTGGTGAGTAAAAAATAAAAAAATGTTATTCATTTAAATTTTTATTATAAATGATGAATAGCTTATCTAACATAAAGTGCCCGTCCCCATGAAATAATTTGTTTATGAAAAGCAACATTGCTCTTTACAGCGTTTTTTCACTAATCTAAGCTGTCATACTAACAATTAATTATTTATACTTTTTATGTTATACTACATTATTATAAATTTTTAAAACATCACTTTACTTCTCCCGTCTGCCTATAACATTATTACATAAATAAAAATTAATAATACAATGTACAAACCAAATTAATAAAACCAAACATACAGAAAAGATCCGTAAACACTAGATAATAGAAATTTCCGACTTTAACTGGGCGAAGTAAAGTCCATTTATTATGCAGTGTGGGCCAAAAATTTCACCCATTTTTGAAATACTTATTTGTTCAATTTACATAGCACCAATATTTTGCCGCATATAGCAAAATAATTGATACATAAAGGGGTCACAATTCGTGAAATCAGCAAAAAAAAGGATATAATTGTTTTTTGACCATAAAAAATAATGGACCAAATTTTTTTTATTTTTTTTATTACATCAGCAAAGTTATTGTCAAATGAAATTTTTGGTAGCTTTTAAAACAAAATCTAGTAATTCTTAAAAAAAATCGTTTTTATGAAATTGACCGTGGAAATTGCCAAAAAATTATTTTTTATATAATAACTTCAATAAATAAATATATTAATAAACAATTGATTATTTTTCGTGTTCTGGACTATAAATGTGAAGTTTTAATTATAATTCCGGATTTTTCTCGACAGATTTAGATTTCTGAGAGTTTTGTTGTGATATATGTTTCGATTTTCAAAAGACCCAGAAAAAATTAATTGTTTACAAAAAAAATTGATAAATAATTATGGAAAATTTTTTCGTAAATTTCAAAACAATTTTCCAAAGTCAATTTTTTTTTCTTTCAGTATGCTAAAGTTTTATCAAAATCGATTTTTTGGTTCAAGAAAAACTAGATTTTGTTTAAAAAGTTACTAAAAGCTTTATTTGCAAAAAAATAAAAAAATTGGTCCATTCATTTTTGTTTGAATAGTCTTTTCAACATTTTGACAAAAACCAATTATAGCAATTTTTATTGTACTGATTTCACGAATTCTGACCCAGAGTAATTTTCAATAATTAATATACTGTGGCACTGAAAAAATACAGTGTAAATATTAAACTAAAAATATCCAAAAAAGAATGCAATTTTTACTTCCACACTCTGTATAGGAGGGTGAAAATGTTGTTTTATCTAAGTACACTCATAAACAGATCTGATGGAATTAATAATGATTTCTTGCAAATATCTTCAACATTGAATACAAAATTTAAAAAAATTAGGTTTTCCGTTTAAAATATCTAAAATGTAGAAAACAATCCATAATAAGCAAAATTTAAAAATAAATACCTTTGAAGATAAATGCAGGTTTGTTTTGCAAGAATTAATTAAAAATGTTCGCACTCAAATCGTATAAAAAACGTTGAAAACATGGCTTAAGACGTTTTAAACCCAACCCAAGTGCGTTTTTTACAACTTCCTAATTTACCATACGGTCACACACACTCTTTCATACAATATTTACAGACAAGTGAATAAAAATTAAGTGCATTAGGCACCCAAGTCCTCGTTTTGTGACTTCGAATCACATTTCACGTAAAAATCGAACCCAACACTGGACTTGGGCCGTTTTTACGTTAAACGACTCAAAATTTTGAACATGACGGCGAATATGAGAGCACACGAGTCACATTTTTTTATAACAAGAAGGGCCAATAGTGTTTTTGTTTTTCTTTAACATTATTATTCGACACTGGTTTAATTTTCAATAAATTGACACAATTCTACCATTTCCAATCGGTCATCAAGATTTATTAAGTAAAATAGGGTTCGTTAAAAATGTATCAACAAATTAATGATTAGATAATTTAAATACGATAAATATTTACGCTCCTTTTTTTAATTATTTAATTCCTAGTTTTTGTTTATCTTGTAACACACATAACGTCGTCCACAATGAATAATAAAAAAAGTCAAAAAAGGTGTTTGAAAAAATAATAGGAGATCTTGAAGTTTAATATAATTCTTTAGGTTTAAATAAATCGCGTGTAGAGATTTCGGACTCTGAACTTCTCATCATCAATTCCCATAATATCACAAGCTTAACAACAATAAAAATAGATTGCTTTAAACTAAATACGTAGTTAGGTAGGTAGGTAGTAATGAATATTGTTTCATACTTCAATTAGGTACCCGGAATATTATCGTCAATTGAAAGTATAGTGAGTGGGAAATCGCTACACTGAGTGTGATTCATTGTTTTTTAATTGGTTTTCTTCATGTTTTACTTTTCAATTTCGGGATTTGTTGTTGTTTTGTTTGCTTATTAGTTTTCTGTTGTTGGCTGTGTGTCGCTGGATGTATCCGACTCTTTAACAAGCAGTCACAGCTTTAGTTCGTTTGCTATCTTGCTAGCAATGTTTTTGAAACCGATACTGGTACCTGAAAACAACAAAAAATGTCAAATTATGGTGCTATTCTTTAAAAACTGATTAACATTATGTTAATTTAAGATTATGCTAATAACACAGAAATAGCAAACAAATAAATAACATTATGTTATTTTTTATAACAGAGTTAACATTAAGTTATTATTAAAATTTCCGTGGAGAATAAGCCTAATAAATTTAAGAAATTAATGCATACAAAATAGATAAGTAGTTAGATTGCTTTAAATAGAAAATCACGTGGTGGGACTTTGATGTGTAAGGCATAGTACATTAGAGTGGGTCGAATTTCCCCTTTTTAGAAATTTTGTATATATTTTCACCTTAAAAATTTATGTCAATTCGCCAATTGCCCGTGACTAAAAACCTGTTGCTAACTTTAGCTCGTGACTAATGCGAAATAAAGCCATAGCTTGTCAATGTGTGACACTTAGTGTCATGGAAACATGTACGATAATGGGCGTTTTAAAGGTGGGAGTAGAAAAAAATAATAAGTGTCAATTAGAAAAATTGATACAAAGTAAAACTTCCCTAAACCTAAAGTTTTATAACTTTTATTATTCTCGATTTTGTTTGTTTCCATTTTATATGTATTTTATCTTTTTAGGTCGAATGTTTACATCTTTAATATTTCTATAACACTAACTTTTTTTATTTTCTTTGTGTATTTTCTCCAACTCTAATTTACTCTAACTGGATTTTTTTCAGATTCGATATAAGGAAGTTTCACTGTATTTTAGAACCAATATGTTTTTAATTATCTTAAATTTAATCTTACACTTAAGTAGTAATCACTTATGGCTAATTAACACTTAAAATATTTTTTTTAGTTAAAGCGATGCTGGACTTAGTTGCAGGGTTCATATCACCGATATATATCATGATATTTAACACGATACATATCGATATTTATAAGCAATGATGATATATATCAATGATATTTATAAAACTACAATTAAATATTTAACAGCTTTTTTCAAATTTGATCTATTATAACATTTTAAAAAGTATATAATTTTCTTAATATATGCTGCCTTTAATTTAGTCTTTATTTCCATTCTACGATTTTAATAAATATTTGTAGATTTTATTAAACACAAAATTTGCAGTTAATAATTTAAAAATGTGATTAATCAGACGCATTGTCTAAAAGACAACCGTATTGTCACAATTGTATTATACTGGCCGCGAAATCGTCATTTTATATTATGGCTGTGTTATAATTGCAGTGATAAAAGTAATAAAAATAAAATGCCAAAGAAAAAAAAAATGGTGATGAAACTTTAATTCATATTTTTTTAAATTAAAATTTAATGTCAAAATTTTTTTGTTAAGAATTTATTTTTTGTTTTATAAGTTCACTTTTTTAAATAAATTTATTAAAAACATTTTTATTCTCGCTAATATAATTAATTTTTGACCAAAACCTTAAACGAAATAAATAAAAAAATAAATATCAAGATGTTGATACTAATATATCGGATATATATACACATATATTCGATATTTTGATATTTATATACATAAATATCATGATATTTTCGAACCTTGCTTAGTTGTAAGTCGTTGCAAGTAGGGAATGCAATATTGCAGGAAAATGTACAATCTGTACTCTAGCAAGATTTAAGAGGTGTAATCTCGCAAGATCTCGGTATTTTGCGAGATCTCGCAGATTTAAGATTAATAAAAAAAGAAATTAGTATAATTATTTGTATTACAACTTTGTTAGGTTATATCGTAAAGGCAAAATAATGAAATAAACAATAAATTAAATAATTTATTTAAGACTATTCCACTCATTACTTTATGGACCAATCAGATTTCAGAAAACGAGTATTTTTTTCAGTGTTGCAGCGATAAAACTACTAAAGTTCATTTTTTTTTATCTGGACTGCGGCAACGTTGCAAATTTAGGGTTTTGGTTGGTAAATACAGTTATCAAGTTGGTCGTATTGATTAAAACAAACTAAAGTAGAAACCACGAATATATGAACGTGACTCATCCGACACATTCGTACGAAGCAATCTATCGAAGGTCACGGTCCAGTGCAGTCCTGTTTGTAAAAAATCTTGAGTGTAATGTTGGTTGCTATACTTATGATATATTTGCTTTTAAAGTTAAATTTTAATAATTAACATCTACGATAATTAAATAAAATGTAATTTTCTTAGAAACTAATTAATAAATAAACTTTTCTTTTAACTTTAATGGAATATTCTATCATCTGATGACAGAACGTACACTCGTGGCGACATCTCTGCTTTTAATATCTAACAAATTTTTAGACCGATCCAACCTCACTTTCTTCCAATTAAATTCTTTGTCTATGGTATTTTTTGGAAACGTAGAAAAAGTATAGTCTGGATCACGTTTGGAATTGTATATTCCCCTCTCGTGAAACCGTCAAACTTGTTACAGAATATACTATTCTTTTAACTGTTAACGCAAATATTTCAGAATTGGTGACAAAAAACAAAAATGTTTACGCAGGTCAGGTACAAAGTGAAAGATATTTAAATTGTGTGGATATAAAAACAACTTGCGTTAAGGCCGATTCTCATCTAAGCAGGGCAGAGCAGAGCGGCGCGGAGCAGGGCAGCGCGGCAAAATGCTGCTCTCAATTGTTTACATGTAATTAAGTGGTCCCGTCCTCACCTAGGCATAGCGGCGCAGAGCCGAGCGTCGCGGTACAATGCAGAAAATTTTTAACGCGTTCGAAAGCATTGACTAGCGGCACTGATGCTTTGAAACGCGCTCTTCTGCCTGTTGACGGACAAGTGGGAATCGAGAAGCGTAGCAAAGCGGCGCGGCGCTGCGCTGCGATTTGAAAAAAACAAAGTTTGTTTTACATTTATTGCATTTTACATTTATTTATTTCTTTATTATTTAAATCTTTTGAGTTAGAGAATTAATATGGACGGGGAAAAAATTGAAAAATTAATTTTACTCGTAAATGAGTATGAAGAACTGTACGATATGTCAAATAAAAATTACAGCAACCAAAATAGACGGGAGATTATTTGGGGAGAAATAGGGAAGAAAATTAATGAAAGTGGTGAGTTCTCATTTATGTATGTAAACATTATTAATGTCACTAAACTAACAACTATTTGATACTGCTAGTAGCAGCCTGCTACCTATAAAAGAATGCTCCTTACAAAATGCTGCGCGCCGCGCTGCTTGATGCTGCCTAGATGAGAATCGCTATAGCAGAATGTTGCGCCGCGCTGCGCTGCCCTGCTCCGCGCCGCTCTGCTCTGTCCTGCTTAGATGAGAATCGGCCTTTAGTTTCACGAAATTTATTAAATATTGACAATTGTTTCGCTACACAGTAGCTTCTTCAGAATGTATTAAACTATTACTAGTACAAAATTTATATAATAAAAATATTTTTGTATTCTAGCCTAGAATTTCTGGGTAAGGATTTTTATACGACATCTACCTGTGTTCAGGGCCGGATTTACGAATTTGCCGCCCATGGGCCGAACGCATCATTACCCCGAATAAAAATGACTCAGCGAATAAGCTAGAGTCGCGCCCCACTCGCCTCGTGTACAGTTACGGAAAGAAGTAATGTCCATTTGAATGCTCCATTGTAATTGTTCGGAGGCATTCGGGTTTTGGTAATAAAATTAACATATCTATTTTTAAACTCAATAATTCTACCTACCTGCTATTTACCATTCTTTCTAGGCACATTTCATTTGACTTTTAAGCTTTTATGCAATAATTAAATATTTAAGGAATAACATTGATTCTGAAATAGTTTAAATATAATATAATATATTATGTTCTATAACTTATTAAATAAACTATATATTATTTAATAAGTTGTTATTAATAAAATAATATATTTAAATGAAATATAGACATTTAATACTAAAATAATTATAAACTTTTGCATAATTTTGCAAATAACCCTCTTTAATGTAATTTTGCAAATAAAATTGTTAATAACCCTCTTTAATGTATTTACCTTTTTATGTGATTTTTTGTTATCTGGGCAATATAAATTAAAATATTTATTCTTACTATGTAAATTAAACACATTAAAATTTTAAACTAAAATGCATTTTGTGCACTATTAATACGTTTTTCTCGATTTTTATGTAAGAATGTCATATTCTCGCACGCAAAATCGTTGAAGAATGAAGCTCATTCTTAAACGATTTTTGGTAACATTTAGTTTTTAAGTATTGGTACCCCCAAAATGTCAAACTGATTAATAACCTCAAATTCATTACTTTTATTGAAAATGAAGCCTTTATTATTGTTTTGTAATATAAAGTTTGCTCCAACAATGCATTTTAATGCAAAATTTTAAGTTTAATGTGTAAAAGTGCAGTTCAGGTTGTACTTGTGCAGGATAACAAATATTGTCATTTTGTGTTGCCAACTGACATTTTGCGAGAAAAATCCCCTAACTAGCAACGACCACAAAACAATTAAAAAAACCTAAATAAAAGTTAAAATCGAGAAAATAGTATAAATCCCACGTTGCAGAAGGCTATTCTCGCACTCATTCGTTCGTCCACTCGCTCCTTCGTCGCTCGAGGCCAAATTTCGAATTCGTGCGAGAATATGTGGCCTTCTGCAACTTGTACTTTAATATACTATTCTACTTCTATTGCATATTATTGATATTTTTTGTTTTTTTTTGCGTAAATAATGGTAACCAATATAACCGCCTGGTCTATCAAAGTGAATTATATTTACTTTGTAGGTATCAGTGATTGGCTTATTTTAATATTCACTGATATTTGAAACAATCGGGTTTTAAATTAGAAAAAAGTAAGGTTGACAGATGTCAGATTTATTTATATATACGAGGGGCGACTATAATGATCTTTAAAATAGAAGAAAAGTGAGGTTATAATAAATAAATTTTGTTATCAATGAAAATTTCTTAATTGGAGTAGAACAAACATAGTATTACACTCGAAATAATGCGCATTATTTACTCGGATGAATTACGTCTCTCGCCTGACGGCTCGACATGCAAACCTTATCCTTTTGAATAATAGCCTGCATTATCTCTCGTATAATAATATACTATTATCAACATTTTAATTTTCATTTCTTGTTTTATGAAATATCTGCCCAATACCAACTTATTTCAATGTATAAAAATCCAATAAAATATGGAAACGGCAAAAATTTATAATTATTATAATAATTGAACTTGGTATTCCCAAAGGGTCTAAGTGTCAAAAATAAAATTGTGTGAAATCAATGAAAATCCATTCATCTTTAAAATACAAAAATAATATGGAAAATATTTTTTTAGTCGTTTTGCATGGCACATAGACTATTTTTAAATGATAATATAATATTTGACCAAATTGGGTCCAAACCCTTTGGGAATGCCATGCTTCAATTATAATTATTAATGTAATTATTTACCATTTCTTTTTAAATAAAAAGGCAGCTTTTTTGCTTATGGTTTTAGATAATATTTTCCTAAAAAAGGGTCCTACTAAATTTTACCATAAATTTTGTTTTGCTGAAAAAGTTTGAAAATCTTGAAAATTTCTATAAATTCAACTTTTACCTTGAATACCTTTTAAAAGAGCCCTACCAAAATTTGTTTTAGTTTTACTAATCCGTTTACGAGTTATACAATTTTAAAGTATTTTAAAAAATCTCATATTATTTTAATGGGAAATAAAAATTCCCGATGAGGGACCTGTAAATGTAATATTAAGAGCTTGCATTTTAACAGGACCATTTTTTGGTATTTATACTTATAAGTCTAATAATTATATAATATTTTTTATCAAATATTTAATAATTTGTCCTACGTTTAAAATATTAATATGAAATTAAATTAAAATACTTTTTAACATTTTAGTCCGGAAGAACTTCGGCTATAAAATTTATTACCTACTTTTATGATATAATTTATATATTTTCTGTTTATACATCTATAGGTATTGTAATCTTTTCTTATTAAGCCGGATGAGGATTAGCCCTTTCGGCAAGTATTAACTTATACCTCTAATTATGCCTAAATACGCGACGTGTGCGCCGATGATAATTTTAACGGCGCCGGAGTATATTATTATAACTTTAAAGAATAAATATTTTATAATTTTTTACACATTAACCTACATATAATAAAAGAGCAATAAATAAATATGAAGAAATATATAATATATAAGTATTTTATAGTTTTATAATATTTATATATTTATATAATATATATTTTAAAATTTTATAGCTATTTATGTTTATATGTTTTATAGTTTTTATATGTAAGTTATAGTTTTATAGGTATGTTAACTTTTATATTATAATTATATTAAACATTTTTTGATAAATCCTACTATATTTAATTTAAAAATATACCAAATATAAAAATTTTAATTATTATTGACTGCTTTTTCACTTGTACCGTGGTTAACTATGGAATACCATGGTATCCCAAAATTTAACAGCCAATTCTTATGTAAAATTGTCCCCTGAATCCGAAAATACATCAATAATTATGAAAGTGAAGCAGTTTATGAGATATAGTCAATTCCATATTAAATAGAAAATTGACTATATCTCAAAAACTGTTCTACTTTTTTAACTTTTGACGGTATTTTCGGATTCAGGGGATAATTTTACATAAGAATTGGCTATTTAGTTTTGGGATACCATGGTTTCCATGGTTAACCATGGTACAAGTGAAAAAGCAGCCACTATTAACTATTAAATTAGTAATTTTTGACTAATTCATTTTTAGAGAGTATGTTTTTAATTTTAACACATAAAAGTGCAACAAATAATAAAATTTGTTTTTACTCCTAAAATAGTGTATTGAATCATTGCTAGTTCTGAAAAATGTAAAGTAAGTTTTAAAAAACTACAACTTGATAATATAATTTATAGCCTAAAAAGTTCTTATTAAAAGTTTTTTCCTAGAATAAATGTTTATAAAACTATACAAAAATATATCAAAAAATTAACGATTTAATAAAAATACAGTTAAATATGTAACATAGGTACCCAAAATAATTAATTCAATACGAGCAGGTAGTAAATTCTAAATATAAACATATTTTTAAATAAATCCCTAAGAGGCAGATGTTGACCATTTCCGAATGCCTCCGAACAATTACAATGGAGCATTCAAATGGACATTACTTCTTTCCGTAACTGTACATCAACTGCCGCCCTTCTACGTAGTGACGCACTACGCAGAATATTAGTGTAGTCTGATATAAAATTATCTAATGTATTAAAAAACTTCTCTTCCAACTTTTTATAGTTTTAATTAGTGTATAAATCTGAGTGAAAACAAAAATTATGCATAAAACGCTCTTGATTTTTTAGCAAAATTTTAACTGGCCTTCAAAATTTGCCGCCCCTAAAAATTTGCCGCCCTGGGCCCGGGCCCATGTGGCCCATGCCTAAATCCGGCCCTGCCTGTGTTACATAATATAAACCAATGCCACTACAACGTTTAAATCGATTATTAATCCGTAAACACACAGCAGAAACACGATATGCAAAAACAAAGATCATATGACATATAAAAACAAATGGCCGACGGTAAAGTTGGTTGCCTTACTATGTAATAAAATAAAATAAATGCCTAAAACACGAACTCTACTGAATATAAGTAACAAGCTAGGACACGCGTCATATGTCCATCTTTGTCCAACACCTAGGCAGTTTTACATCACAGATGGCGCATTTTAGACCGGATGCTTAAAAACCTACGTGTGAGTACATTTACCGCTGCATCAAATGTACAAGACAAGTAAAACATTACTGCTAGCATGTCTGAGATATGTTCGGCACCCGATGAGTCACGTTCATATATTGGTGGTTTCTACTGTAAGCTATAGCTATAAATGGTTATGGTTATGTATAAATTATTGTAGGTTACATTGTGCAGTTGTCAATTTAAGTTGTCGAAATTCGTAGTTAAAAATGCAATTAATTTGGCTTTGGTGGTGCTTGGATGAGTAAAATCATATAAAAAAAGTAGTTAAATATAGGTTGCTTTACGGCCCAGAAGTATTCCTAGCGGATAATAATCTTCGCTTTGAAAAGAATTTATATAAAAGAAATTAAAATTTTTTGTGAACGTAAATGTTGTCCAATGGTAAATAATGTGAAAATAATGTGTGATGTAATATTTATAAAACCAAATTCGTTACTTATATACTCCAAAATTGTCCATAAGGCGATGTACTTTTTCTTCCATTGTGGCATTTGGCATAATTTCATCAAAATGAAGTTTTGCCCTCAAAAGGGCTTTTACATTCGAATTCGTTGCTATTATTTTTGGCATAATTATCTTTTTATTTATAATTGACAAGTAAATTATCAATAATAAATATTGCCAATTTGACAATGTCAAAGTATTTAATTAAATTCTTTAGCAGAAGTACCATTTTTAAATACTAAAAATACTAAGTCAAACTATCATAATCCACCAACCTAACAAAAAAACCTGAGTCCAGATAAAAAAATAATAAACTGTACCTATCACAGACCACCAAAACAAATGGACGGATTTGTTTACGTTTAAAAAGCGAGTAAAGCATAGTTTCACATTCTAAACACCGTCGAAAGAAACACGGCTTCCAACGTTGTCAGAAGTATAGATTACACGCCTTTTTGGACGTTCTTCATAACATAATGAACATTGATAATTACCAGTAATTCGTTTGAATAATAAAAAAATTGTAAAAAGGATTTGTTTATCATTTTCTTTAGATATTTTTCTCTATTTAAAGAAAGTAAATCATTTAATAATTATTAAAATTAAATATTAACAACGTTGGTAAATTCGTCATATTTGACAGCATAGAAAAAGGTTATGTTCTGTGGGTTGACAGCTTGTTGTTTTGTGTTTTCGTTTGTGTATTTCTATCGTGTTTAAGTTAATTATGGAGTTTAAATACATTATTTTTTACTAAAAATAACAATACATGGAAATATCGTTTGTAAGTACCTACCTACTTATTATTTTTTTAATCCCAATACGTCACTGGAAGAAAACATAAAATTCTATCGCCAATTTAACGCTTAGACTGTGACCGTTTGTTGACGTCACTGGAAGAAAACATAAAATTCTATCTCCAATTTGACGCTTAGACTGTGACCGTTTGTTGACCGCAAACAAAACATTGTTATTGAATGGCAATGCGCCGTCCATTGTTTTGGTGGTCTGTGGTACCTATTTAGGTAAAAAAACCACTCGTTTATACGACCAACCAATTGGTTGCCATGCGAAAAATAATTGACAATGTTGACGTTTCTAATTTTAAAATAATAATGTCAAAAAATATTCATTTTGGTCAAAAAAATCATGCAGAAATTGAATCGGCAGTTAATTCTAATTTTTAAAAAAATATTCGTGAAATAGTCTTACCGAATACCACTCGTAATAAAATTTTCCCTGAAAAATTTTTTGATTTTTATTTACTCAAGATTTTTTCGAGAAAAAAACATTCGTATAAAAATCAAAAGTTTATCGGTAAAATTTTAGCACTAGTGGTATACAATATTATATACGATTATTTCCCTCATTATAATATGAACCAATCAAAAGCCTTGAATTTTCGAATAAATTTCGTTTAAATAAGCGATTAAATCACTAGAACTATTTAACAGCGATTAAATTTTAGCCTCCATATTGGATTTTTGTTTACGATTTCATGGTGATATTTACAAGTTTTAACAAACATTTTTTAAAAAACAATAAAAAATAAGTTATCTAGTTTAGGAAATATCAATTATTACTTATTACATACCTTAAATTAATGGAATTTTCTTTAAAAAAATATTTATAAATTTTGACACACGTCAGATTTTATGAATTGTCAAATAGTTTCCTTTAATTCGAGAAATAATCTAGACGTATATCACTCAACCTATAAATTTAATCTGTCAAACTATGCTCAGTAAGTTTTTTATTTGATTTTTCTTTTTGGAAAATAGTTTCATGCAAAATAATTAAAAATAAAACCTTTCGACCGCTACGCGGTCTCGTGATTTTATTAAATTATTTTGCATTCAACATTTTCCAAGAAAAACCAAACAAAAAACTACTGAGCCTAGTTTAACCGATTAAATTCATAGTTGTCGTGATATAATATATGAATAATCAACAAGCTATTGAAGCAAGACTAAAATTATTTATTAAAAAAACTATACATTATTTTGAAAATGACTTCTCAAAAAGCACATGGAATGCGTTGCGTCCTAATCTCGCAAATCTTGCGAGATCGCGCATGATTTTCGTGCAAGACTAATCTTGCAGAATTAGTGCGAGATCTCCCTAGTTGCAAGCAGTGCTAACGTTCTTTACGCATAAGGAAACTTTACGTTTTGGAAAGTTTCCAATTGGGAATTTATTTTCATTTTGAAAGTTTCTTTTAAGCTACCGGAAACATTCCTTGGAAACTTTCCTTGTTTTTTTCATTTAAATGTCAATTCTTTAACCGCTGATTTTCGTTAAGGCCATGATACAAGGCCAAAAAACTTTGAATAAGAATTTAATATGTGTTAATTTAAAGCAGAAGAAGTATAAATAATGTTATGTTACATAACCTCAATGAAGCCATATTATTCAGCATAATCACAAAAAACTTTTTTTAAAAAAGGGAAACAAAATAAAAACAATAAACAAAGTTAAAATCATTCTTACATTTTTGTTGTTTATTTATAGGCATAGCACAATGCCAAGAAAAAAATCTAGTGTTTGGAATTATTTTTTACTTTACTTTTTACTTTTCAATATTCCTATATATTAGTTACTTTGTCCCTTTTAATTTTACGTAATATCTAGGATTTACTAGCAGTGAATTTCTAATAGTAAACATTTTATTTTTATTTTGTAGGTTTCAGTATACAATAGGAATATTATAGGATACTAAAAATAGTATTGCAGTTACATTCTTATAAACATTTTTTTTTCTTAATATAATTTAACAAAAAGTTAATCTGTTATATATTTTTGCAAATCCCTGGTATAAATATTTTCGCAATAAAAAATTTTATTTTGAAACTTTCGGAAAATTTCGGGAATTTTCGATGGAAAGTTTCCGGGAATTTTCGTCAAATGGGAATTTTCCCATCTCTAAAAATATAATAATTAGTAGTTTCTTACCCGAAATCCTCTTGAACCTGACACCGTTGAGCGATAGCCGGGGCAGCTTGCACACCTCGATCTCCCACTGCACGAGGCTGTCGGTGTTGGGGTCGCCGTGCACGCACAGCAAAAGGAAACGTTCGCGTTGCTCGTAATCGCAATTGTTCGAGTCCAAAACCTTCCGTATCTCGGACATGATTTCGGCGGGGTCGCGCGACGACGTCGTCTTCATCGACCACGTGAACCGGAGCGAGCGCGGCTTGATGTGCTCCTCGTTCTGCGCGCCGCCTCCGCCGACCACCCCGCCGCCCACGCCCACCGTTCCCGTGCCCGTCATTCCTCCGCCGCCAACCCTAAACAAATTGACAATGCGTTAGTTTATCGAGGTTAAAGCCAGCGTTTCGTTTCAGCGCCGCTAGATGGAAGGCTGCTGGGGCAAAATTTGCCAAGTGTACCAGGTGAAAAAATTTTTGTCACCGATTTTGTTTAAACTTTACTTATTTGTTGTTCTTATAACGAAGAAACATAGCATAAAATTTTTTTGCTCTAGGATTGTTCATTCAAGAGTTATGGATTATTGAAATTTATCGATTTTTTACTTTTTGGTGAAATCTCTTTTTATTTAAAAATTCATAACTTCTGTTCATCTCTTTATTAAATATTTCAATTTAACCATTTTCCGTACTTTTCAATGGGCTATACCGTTTTTGCAAACAAAAAAAATTTGCAATTTTTTTTTAAATTTTGCAAAAATTTGCATTTTTTGAAACAATGTGTATTTTTTATTTTTTTTATATAGCATAAAATCGAAGCAATTTTGGATTTTCCTGCGTTTTATGTCTCAGAACTCCCAAATCATTGAGTTTAACAAAAATGACTTAAAAATATTTTTTGAAGAAAATTGAATGCTCTACAAAAAAGGTTTGATTGGAATTTCTCGTCAGATGAACCGTTTTCTTACAATCATGCCTTAAAAATTGGTATAGTTTTACAATTTGATCTTTTAACTTTGGAATTTTGTAATTCAAGTAAAAATCAGTACCCTGAAAAAAAAAACGATAAATATTCTTATGGGAAATCAAATGCTCTACAAAAAGTCTTTTATCATTTTTGGCTAAATTCACTCCATCAAAAGTTATACAAGGTTAAATTTGAAGTCAAAACGAAATTTTAACCGTGAATAACTTTTGATTTTGTGAATTTAGCCAAAAATTTTGAGAGGCTTTTTTTGTGAAGCATTTGATTTTTCATAAGAATATTTGTCGATTTTTTATAGGTACTGATTTTTACATGGATTACAAAATTCCAATTTAAAAGATCAAAATGTAAAACTATACCAATTTTTAAGGAAAAATTTTACTTTAACCTTTTTTGTAGAGCATTTAATTTTCTTAAAAAAATATTTTCAAGTCAATTTTGTTAAACTCAATGGTTTGGGAGTTCTGAGACAAAAACCTGAAGTTCACAATAATTTTTTTTTGTCACCCCAAACCATATTTTCGATATACTTTTCATAAAAAAATAGTTGGGCCAGTCTAATATACACATTAGGGTGATTAAAAAAACCTTTTTTTTGTTTTTTTTCTCGGAATCACGCTTAAAAGTTTCGTATAGATATAAAAATAAGCCTGTGAAGAGATGACCTCTTAATTTCAAAATTACGATGCTCCGAATCGCACTTTTCGATTTTCCATAAGAATAACATAGGAAAAATTATTTTTGTTTCTTCTGATTTTTATAACTAACGTCGTACTGTAAGGTTTGTAGAGAATTGAACGCTCTACAAAAAAGGTTTCCTATGATTTTTTGATAAATTTGATCCTTCCAAAGTAATTTAAGGTCAAAGTTCAAATTAAACGAAATTTTTGTTTTTTAACTTTTTTGGCGAGTCTACCCGACTAATTTAAAACAAAATTTTAATAGAGAATTGAAAACTCTACAAAAAAGATCTAGAATCATTTTTCGTTAATTTAACTTGGCTAAAAGTTATTCAAGGTTAAAGTGAAATTAACGGTCAATTTAGCCGTTTTCTCGAAAATACTCCCAGATTTTTGAGTTCAAAGGGCTAAAAACGAATTAAAATATTGTTTTTGAGCTCTGGAAATTCGAAAAAACATAACTATCGATATTACGGAATTACTCAATTTTTCCGGAAATTTTAAAACACTAGATACAACCTGATACATTTCTTGATTATTATAAATTACTTGTTACAAATGACAATATACTTTTAAATTTTTAACTCTTTGTAGCTCAGCCATTCCACGTTACAAGGGAATTTTTGTAGCGTCCGTTACAATCAAAAATTGTGAGTAAAACTACCATAATTATGATGCTTATAAGCTTAAGCCTAATTATTACAAGCATAATAAACATATTTGCAATAGTAACTATTGTAATAGTATTTAATTTAATTACGGTAGCTTTTACTCACAATTTTTGATTGTAACGGACGCTACAAAAGTTCCCGAGTAGCGTGGAATGGCTGAGCTACACATTAATGTTGAAAAATAACTCATTTTCTTATTAAAAAAAAGTAGTAACTTGTGTAATTTGTAAGATTTTTACAAAACAATATAATAACTTTTTTTTATATTGTTTTTAAATTACAACAAATATTAGTACCAACGTATGTATTTATTAGATATAATTAAAATATTATACAGAATGAGTTAATATATCTTTTCTAACCAATAATATAATGGAACAAATCAAAATGTAGTATATTCTAAGGATTAGGTCTCAAATGTGTCCTCATATTTTTTGTATAATGACCCATCCTAAAGCGTTCACCCTATGATATTATATGCTTTATTCTGGTTTTCATTTTGTATGAATTTTATGTTATTAATGTTTCCAATGATACAAACATTTTTTAAAGCATGTACAGTTAAAACAATGTATTAGTGACATGTACAAGCAAAAATAGAAAGACATAAAAAGTGCAAACAAAAACGAAAAAAAATAAAAATTAATAATAAATGAAAATAAAACATGCCCCCTTCACTGACCTTTACGGCTTAAAGGTAATATTTTATAAACAGGCTAACAAGTAAAACAAAAAAATGCAAAACAAATTTCGCCTTGAAATCGTGTTTTTTTTCACGCACATTGAGTGAATTTGGATTGTTGAAATTTAAAAAAAATGCCTGTGTTTTTTGTTTAGGCAATAAACTTACCCTACAGTAGGTAAAGGTGAGTTGGCATGTTTAACTTGTGGGCCAGTTTCTAATGCTCTGAAAATAAAATTCGAAATGATAATAAACACAAGATGAAAGTTTTAGTAACGAAGTATTGAAAGCAGAACGAAAAAATTAGAAATAAGTAAAAAAAAGGAAGAGAACTTCGATATTTTATTATTTGTTAAAAGTGTTGGAAATATTTTTTTTTGTGAGTGGTGTTTAATACTTACCATGGGAATCCTTAAATTAATATATTGGGTGAAATATTTTATGTTCAATATAATAATAAATAAAAACAAAATCAATTTACAATATATTACTTCAATTTTATACAATTCTATTAAAATTATTTATATTCAATTTCTATAATACTTTGGTAATTTACATTTATTAATTTAATTTTCTAATAAGGGAGGATATGTTTTTTATTACAAACCACTTTTGGTAAATTTAAGTATAAAGTCTTATTGCACCAATTTAATTAAGCCAATAGAAGAAATATTTTAATATTTGCAAAACAGTGGTCAGGAAAGATTTATTATTATACTTATTTATAGCTTACAAAAAAAAACGTTATTATACAGAGAATACAACAATTTGTTAACAAATTCTCAGTCAGAACTGCAAGCAGTCAAACGCAGTCAAAATAGTTTTTATTATATTATTTTAAGAGTGGTACAAATTATTATTACCACCTTTTTACTACTAAACCTCAAAATAAAACAACCTAAAATTTGGCATGCTTAAAGAATGTAATTAATGATTTTTGCGTCTTTAATACATGTATAGAATTTAAAGCTATTTATTTCTGGGGTTTAGTAAGCACAGGGTGCATATAATTTGGACCCTTGAATTGGGTACTTTAGATACCTAATAAAAACAGAACTATACAAAAGTCTAGTGTAAATATAAATTTAAAAAAAATTTATAATACCTAGTTTACTAGCCTTTGTAAAAGCGGTAGTAAATAAGTAGGTAAGGAAGATTGGATATATCTATAAAAATACGCTGTGTACCTATATTTTGGATAAAATTCAACGAATAGAAGGAATATCACTATCAGGCGGTAGAAAGCTAGATCTACTGCCGAGTATTTATTTAGTACGTTTGTAATTAATAATTAAGAGAGTATTTTTGGGATGCAGAAAATAGATAAATTTAAAAATGTTATATTTTCCAAAAACGATTTTAATGCATATTGTGGATGTTTTAATATTGCTATTTTTAATTCAATTCTGAAAAATTTGACAAAAAGTGTATTTTATAATAAACTTCTAACATAATATACAGAACTACTCAGAAAGATACCTTTAGGTTTGAATTAAAAAAAAATCCAACGATTATTTTTTAGTTATTAACCATTAATAAAGTCAAAAAACGACATGTTAAAAAATAAACCAATATCTTAGTAATTTACTTGTCAGAAAAAAGCGTTTTTCAAAAACTGTTTGTTACCAAAATATCTTTTAAGATAGTTTATTAACAAATAAAAAATATTTATTTGCTTAAATACACCCTGTATTTTTTAAAGTATACCGTATTATCATTTTTCGGGTATACATCTGACGCATCATAGCAGCATTCGGTTTTTAAGAGGGGGAATAATTTGATCACGCAGTTACTGGCGTTGGGTGATAGTCAAATTTAAAACACAGTAAATTATTAGTTTAGTCAAATGTGTAAAAACATTATTTGTTTTGCATTTAACTTAAATGTGTTTTCTTATAAAAAAAAACGTTTAAACATGAGTTGTCTTGAAATCAAGCTAAAAATTATTTTATTTTATTAATTTTGATTTCAAGAGAATTGTTTATACCTGTTCATACCTTTAAGTTATATGCTATACAAATAATGATTTTACACATTACTAAACTGACATTTACATTCCAACATACAACCATATAGAATAACAGGAATTAATCTTATTAAATGCTATGCAGTACCATACAAATGCAGAACCCAAATGATGCTCGAACGGTGTGCCGTCGCCGCTGCAAAATATCCCCCCTCTCTTTCAAGGCGTTTGGATGCACTCGGCACTGTATACTTTTAGCGTGAAAATACGGTATAACCATTTTTTGTAAATGTCTTTATTTCAAAAACTTTGAAATTATTTGTCCAAAATGCTGGATAAAAGAAACTTTCTTTTAACATTTAAAATCCAGGCGGACTTTTCTTTGTATCACTATTTTACAAAAAAACCGTTTAAGGAGTAACCATGTAGAATGCAAAAAAGTGCGTCACTTAAACTAAAAATACTCCCTTAATTGTCATTTATTTTGTGAAACAATGCAGCTGCCAGGTTGAGGAGGTGAGCGTTGATGCGGCGAAGGAAGAAGAAGAAGCTGATGGGAACGGACGGACGAAGAAGAAGAAGAAAGGACCATTGTCGGACATCTTCCTGTGGCGGTTGTTGGATGGTGGTGCGGTGGTGGCGCGTCCCTCGAACGTCCATTTAACGACCCTTTACTCTCTCGCTTGCTCGCTCTCGTTCACTTGCTCGCTCTTGCTCTCTTTTTTTCAAATCCTGAACGAGAAACACACCGTTTCAGTCATCGGTCGGACTGGCCGATCAAGGGACGGACCACTCGCACACAGAAATCCCAATAAAAACAGTCATTACAAAGCGTTACATCAAACTTTTTTTTTTCGTACACGACCTGACGATTTTTAAGACACCTATGTTGGATTTTCAACAACACTTTTCTTACAAAATTTTCTTGAAACGTAGTTTTTTTAACTTGAAGACACTAATTAACCATTTTACGTTGTTAGGTCCGTTTTAATATTAAATAATTTTTAGTATTACATGAAATTATGTTAGCTTAATTATGTAAAATTATGATAAATATTTTTGTAGTAGTATAATGTAAATGAAGTATTATTTCTTGTTAATAATTTTATTTACCAGCAAACCAAGATATTATTGGAATTTACATTTTAAAAAATACCATATTACACACATTTATTCTTCTGTATAGTATATTCATATATTTTTTATTTAAACAGTTACAATGTCGGTTATATTAGAGAAAAGTTAAGTAATTAAAAATTTAAAAATTGCAAAAATACGTAACTTTTCTCTAACGATTAGAGTCTAATTTATCGACCTTGTAGCTTGTCAAATAAAAACCCATACATAGAAGGATACTTGGTGCACTCTGTTATACAGCGTAAGTAAAAATAACCTTTGCATTTAAGTTTTCTAAATTTATTTTCATAAAATAGGAGTCTCTGAAATGCCTGTATAAAATAATACCTTATATCCCTAAGACCCAAATAATGCAATATAACTAAATTTAAAATTTACCCCTATACAAAAGTTGATAATAACCAAGATACAGGGTGTGTTCGTTATCGATTTTAATTAATAACTTTGGAAAAAACGAACGTATTTGCACAAAGTTTGATATTTCGGTGTTTTTCAGGATGTAAATATTAAACTTCTTTAAAAAATTAATGTAGGTTGTAAAGGCGACAATTTGCCTACGTTTAAATGGTTACACCTTTTTGCGCCTTGGTATATTCACCTTTTAATAAAAATATTACTTTATTTATCTGTATTACGCATTATTACGTATTACCTTGTAACCGTTTTCGAAATATCTCATATTTAACGATTTTACAGAGAATTTTATATATTGAAAACCAATTACAAAGTTGTACAGTATCTAAATTTATAGCATCTCTTAATGCATTTTTTTAATTATAAACTACTTTTGAAAAAATGCTACATTTTCAAATCACAATTAAATGGGTGCACTAAATAATTTAAATTAAAAATCTTGAAAACAGTTCCTCGCAGTGATATTTTTATGTAATAAAGATAAAAAAAGAATATTTTTTATTAAAAACGTGAATACACTAAGGAGCCAAAACCATGTGACCATTTAAACGTATGCAGTGTCGCAGACAGTGCCTTTTACAATTAGTTTTGTAAGAAATTTTATTTTTCCGTCCTGAAAAACCCCCAAAAATCATTTTATGCAAAAACGTTTGTTTTTTTAAAACTTATTTAATAAAATCGATAAAGAACTTTTAACTTTCACAACCTTTATCTTATTATCAACTTTTTTAGAAGTAAATTTAGTTATATCGCCTTATTTTGGTCATAGGAATATAAGGTATCATTTAGTACAAGCATTTCAGGAACACATTGTATAGTGTTTTTAGAATACAATTTTTAAAAGCTTGTTTAAACCAAGGTATTTGGGTTAAAAAATATACTCTTGAAATACAGGTGGGAAAAAATAAATGGTGAATTCCTCAACAAAAAAATTCCTTTTTTAATAACTTTCAAACACTATTTTTGGTAGGAAACGAAATCTTAGCAATTGCTTTATTGGGTAATCTACCCTGCTAAGGAAAAAGGCCATATCTACAAATTAAGTAATAAAGGCCAAAAGGTCATTTTAATTGCTAAAAACAATTCAAATTAACTTTTGTTATATATTGTAGGTTACGTTGCCGTAGTGTTTTATAAAGAAAAATGGCGAGCCACTGATAAAATGTCAGAATGAGCAATGAAAAGGCGTTACAATAAAAACAATGGCTTCAATTTCTTTTCCTTATCTTATAGTGTTTAAAATATATTTAAAAAAATTAAATTTTAAACACCCCATAACTTGAAAACGAAAATCCGTAGACCAAAACTGAAAAAAACTATTATATTGTACCAAGGAATCCACCATTTAAATTTTTCCCCGTATAATTATTTAAAAAAAATCGATTTTCGGTTTTTAATGATTCTAATAAAAGAAGAAATTAACAATCAATTGAAAATATGAAAAATTCTATCTTGAAATTAAGCTTCATAACAAAGTTAAATGTTGCGTGCACTACTACAACTCAGAGCTTCGGATCGAGCTGCAATTTTTTAAAGAATTACCACAATGTTATCTTATTTTACAAGGTTATTTTTTCTCACTGCATATTGTAGTTTAGTTTTTGGCAAAGTTATTATTACTGTTATTTGTTTTGATTGTACTATTTGTAAGAAATAAATGTACGTAAGACAAGACAAAAACACTAAAATATAAATCTATTAATTATAAATACATAAACATAAGCACTAAACAAAACGATACAAGAAAAAAAACAAAAAAGCTCATCGTATATGTAACGACGATTTAGCGGCTAAACCAAAACACACAACGTTTGTTTTGTTCGTTAAAATTTCTATTCACTAATAATGTAAAATTTATTATTAAAATCACAAATGATGTAACAAATTGTAATAACTATTTTAAACCACACAAAAGGAATGCTTGCCATTTGTACTTTAACATTGAAAACAACAAAAATAAATAAAACATGTAAGGCTTGCATTCTTAGTTTGAATATTAATATAGAGGGATGGGGGTAGTAGGGGGTTATTGTTAAGTGATTGGCAATAGTGTTAATGTGATTTGGTTATTACACGATAAACTAAAGCAAATAAAAAGTCAACATGTTAGTCACAGGTGTTTTAAGCTTTTTACTATGCAAGTAATGTTACTGTAAGGCAGACATTTTATTAATTCCATTCGTTGCTTTGGTTCGTCGAATATTGCGGGATAAAATGTTTTTAAAGTGATGATAATTCTAATTATTCTCATGAGAAATTATGGAAATCTCGCGAAGTTTGTCAATGCATAACAAGTAGCTTCAAATTAAATTGAGAATTTCTGCTATTCTACATAATTAAGTTCTCCAGATTATTAGCATACTTTTTAAAATTTTATCCACACAATTTCGCAAACCCTGATAGATTTAGATATATAAATACCCTTATTTACTGGATGTTTCAGAAAGTGTATAAAAGCTGTTCTTTATATAACATATGTTGGTAATTAATTTCTGACTTAGTGCAGCATTTGAAAAAACTAATACTTCTAATTTGTTTTTTCCGACAAGAGGTAGAGATGTAAAATAACTTTTTTGTTTAGGTAGAAAAAAAACATTCAGTCAAGTTATAAGCATTAATTTTTAAACTGGAACAATGTCGTTTAAGTTTGTCCAATAAAAAAGCATGTAGGTTAACCTTGCCTTTTTTCCTTTGATTGAATAAAAATTTTCCATAGATGTATATTTTTATTTTTGTAAACGGCTGCAATAAAAGTCTAAAATTAGAATTTATAGAAATTTGAAATCATTCAAATTTAAAATTTTAGCAAAAATTATTTTGATTTATTTTTTAAATATTTTAAACATTTGATTGTTTTTGTGAAATAGTGATTGTATAAATGGGTCATTATACTAATGAGACTCTCTGCCATTTGTCAGTTGTCCCTAAATTTTCTTATTAAAAAAATAATAAATCGTGACAGCTTATATAAAACTAGATTCATAAATAAGAACTTAAAATAACAAAAATTAATTGAACATTTTTCAATTAAATGTAAAAATATATTTAATGTCCTAATTCATGTTAAAAGTATCACACTATAACCCCATGTCCCCATCATATTGCAATAGTAAAAACTTGGATATATTTCATAGGTTTTGTATAAAACAGAATTCTAAAACTAAAATGAAATAACAAATAAGTAGCTCCTCAATACTAATAAAGAAGTGTTAAATGTCTGAATATTTTTTTAAGCGTGACCAAACCTTGTCCTTATATTTAATTGCTACTATTTTAAGCGTTATAAAATACACTGAAGTTTAGCATTACATAAAAGAACTCTGTAAACCATCTAGTTTATAATTGTGGCACGAGAAGGCGCCGCTGCAGGAAATGGTATCGCTATTGTTATTTTGCGCGTTCCAAACAAGCAGCGTTATCTTCAAGGTTATCTTTCGTCACGGCATTTACTTGGTTTTTGAAGTATTTAATATTCTTTTTCATGTAAAGTAAACCAATATTTTCTTTTTAATTAAGGCAATGTTTTATGTGCATTTATTGGGTCACTTAAAAAATGGATTTTTTTATTGTGAAAAATGTCTCTTACGTCACATGTCTCTTTTGCCACACTGCACTGCTATCGCTACGACATTAAAACTTAAAAAATAAGACTGTTTAAGCGAAACTTTACTGCTGAATGTAACATTATAATTACCTTTAGTTTGCCTAAATAATAGTCACAATGGATATAAAAATGTGAAATATTTATTATTTTTTAGAGGTTATTTATTTATAAAACCACTAATCTTGATACTTAAATTTTAAATTTGATGACTATAATCTATACATCTCTTAAAATACACTGCGCGTCAAAATTAACGCATAATAAGTAAAAACTCTAAAACGCCTTTACCAATCTTTATGAAATTTTGTATACAAATACTTCAACTTATATCTCAGTTTACGTGTTCGAGGGTTTTTCGAGAAAATATTTTTAATGCCCTTTTATTTAATAATAAAAAAACGTTCAAAAAATAACTTTTAGGGAATTTTTTTAACTAAATAAAAAATATGCTGTTAAAGACCGTATTTTTGTTAGTATTCCCTGAAAATTTTGTACAAATCAAACGAACAGTAACGAAGATACATCGCTTCAAAGTCGGTAAAAATGACCCCTTTTTGATTATTTTGCTGAAAAGTGGTCTTTTTTGACGACTTTAAAGCGCTGTATTTTTGTTACTGTTTGTTTGATTTGTACAAAATTTTCAGGGTATACTAACAAAAATACGTTCTTTCACAGCATATTTTTTATTCACTTCCCTATAAAAGTTTTTTTTGGCATTTTTTATTATTAAATAAAAGGGCTTTAAGGATTTTTTCTAAATTTTCCACAAATTTTTTTTCCAAAGTCAACCATTTAAAAGTTTTTGCTAAGATGTTATATTATGTTTTACTGCTAAATTAAATTTGTTTTCTTTGTGAAAAAGGGGTCAAAAGCCCAAAACTATGCTGGGTTGTATTTATTTAAGAAAGTTAAAAAAAACATTAAAAAAACGTTAAAAAACCTTGATATTTTATTTTTACGTTACACCTCTAACAAGAGCCCTTGATTCTTTTTGTTAGTAAAATTCTCCTATTTTTATTTTTATTAAAATATTTACACTCCTGAAACACCCAGTGCATTTTAAGCTACAAATTTGTTAAAAAAAATCGTTTTAGTAAGAAAAAAGACTTTTTAACAAAAAGCCAAAATGTGAGCATTTTATATTTGACACATCGCTGCTTTGGTGGCGGTTTTTGGGCCTTACCTTTTGGTGAATCCCTTGAGACTGAACTTGCTAAAAAACGACGGCCTGGTGTGCGCGTCAGCGGGCGAGCCCGCGGCATACGTCGCTCGCTGTCTGGTCTGGCCCGAGTGGAAGGTGCTTCTCGAGCTGGTGTTCCTGGGGAAGGCCTGCTGTTGCCTGGTGGCGGCCGGCGAGGCGCTCTGCCGACTAAAAAATACACGCGCAAACGTTAGCTGGAATATTGCAGACTACTCAAACATTTTTACAACAATTTAAAGCGTTAACAAGGTTGTCACATAGGACCAATCAGTCTGATCAGATATGACGCTATTATTCAATCATTTTTGATGTGGGAACATTATCACCCTAATTTTAAAGAAACATTAATTTTTTATAGCTCCCCAAGCAAAATATTGATCTTACTCCTAAGTAGGTAGTATTTTGATTTTAAAGTTTCTCATTGGAGTAACAGGAATTTAAGGATTTTTTCAATTTTCTATAGCTTGGCGGTACCTTAAGGTTGTCCGGGCACGAGTTTTAGTGTTTCGATCTTGGTAGAACTGTGTCCTATCCTACAGCATTAGATTTAAAATCCGTTGCCAACTACTTGCAACCAAAATTCATATGGGTATAAATTCCATTTTAAGGCGATTTTTTTATTATTTTGCAAGGTAATTGCATTGTCAGTTCATGAGGCGTTGTTATAGTGTACATATGTGAATGAATAAAAATCTATAACATCGCTTTTAAAAATTTCGCCAATAACAGTCGCAACGCTTGGCAACGTCGTATTCGCTGTCTCTTCCCCCCCTACGCTTGCTACATACGTTCTCACTCACACCTATGTAGCACCGGGCGAAAGCGATCCTATCTAACGTCAGCGACGTTGTCACGAATCTCCAGTGCAAGTGCAAATTTCGTAAATTCACCGATTTAATCCAATAGAACTTTTTTCCTACCGACGTGATCATTATGAAATTTCGCGTATCATGTTTTGAAATTACGCTCCACGATATACTCATTTTTCATTGCAATCCTATCATTACCAATAATTATTTCGAAGGAGAAAAGAGTAACAATCCACGTGCTGCCATAAGATCCCGTGCATTTTTACTCAACTTTGAAATGTATTTACTCGGCTCCAACGACAAGAATTTTTATTAAATTAAACAGGATGATGTGAAGCATCATAAAGAATATATTTGTAAATTTTTATCAAATTCTGATCATTCGACACTCACTCCAGGACAACCTTAAGCTACTACAATTTACCTAGTTGCGATTTGTACATAATTAGATGCTCTTCAAAAGTACTTGCAACAACTTTTATACAACCTATATTTTTGACCTGTATACGTCATATTTTTAATAAAAAACAGTATTTATTGCCTTTTACAGAAAAACAGATAAGTTACAGGTAAAAACTAAAAAAGATTTTTTTAGAATATTTGATTATCTATAAAAAAGATTCTATGCATTAATCTAATAAAATGCTTAGTTTAAAAAATTTCAATAAAACTAATTGCTTTATCAATAGTTTAAATTAGTTGCTGTGCACAAGAGAGATATAGAAATAAAACAATTCAATAAGGACCATATATTATATGGTGGCCGCCGTGAGATGGATTACCTATTTTTTTCCAACCTTGATAAGGATATCAAATAATAATAAATGAGGTTTAATGAGTAGAAAACGAGGTTTTTCAAAATTTTAGGGTATTGTTAAATACATGTTTATTTCTAGAAATTTTCTTTATGACAAAATTCAAGATATTGTCTAAGCAATTTTAAGTTTAAACCAATTTATTATTATTCTTATTATGATTCTGAGTAATTTTTGATTGAAGTAATTTAGAAAAAACTATTTTTAAATAAAAATTTAAAAAATAAATAAATTATTTTATTACTAAAAATGATTGATTAATTGCTTCACAAATAGACTGAATGGTCTAATGTGACGAAACAAAGCTTTTTAACAATAATTGTATGTTTTATAGAAAATACATTAAAAATACATTACATTTTACATAATACAATAACAATTATTTATATTGTATAATTAAATACAAACCTTAAAAATTTATCATAATTATATTCATTTTTATGATTTGACACTATATCTACATGCACTTGTTAATAAAACAAATAAAATTGGATACATACTTGGATTATCTTAAAAAAAAACAATACAAATTTATATATTCCAGGGTGTCTCTAATATGTCCGTACAACGTTTTATTACTCAAAATAGATCGATTAAAGTCAAGTTAGTTTCTTTAGCCGGTAGGGGGCATTCAAAATTAAAATAAAATAAAAATTCCCAAATTTGAAAAAGTGCTAATTAATTTAGGTGATTTTTTTTGTGTAGTCCAACACTAGTTTTTTATTCTTTGACGCCCTCGAGCTAAACGAATTTCCAGATATTACTCTTGGCTTAAATAAACTATTTTGTTGTACAGACATTTTAGACACTGTATTTTGATCAAATCAATATTTATATGCATATACACTGCGCGTCAAAATTAACGCATAATAAGTAAAAAAATTCTAACTCTAAAACGCCTTTACCAATCTTTATCAAATTTTGTATCAAAATACTTCAACTTATATCTCAGTTTACGTGTTCGATGGTTTTTCGAGAAAATATTTTTAAAGCCCTTTTATTTAATAATAATAAAACGTTCGAAAAATAACTTTTAGGGAATTTTTTTTTAACTAAATAAAAAATATGCTGTTAAAGATCGTATTTTTGATAGTATACCCTAAAAATTTTGTACAAATCAAACAAATAGTAACGAAGATACATCGCTTCAAAGTCTAACAAATACTATACTTTCACAGCATATTTTTTTTCGAGCGTTTTTTATTATTAAATAAAAGGGCTTTAAGGATATTTTTTCGAAAAACCCTTGAACACGTAAACTGAGATATAAGTTTAAGTATTTTTATCCAAAATTTTATAAAGATTGGTAAAGGCGTTTTAGAGTTGGATTTTTTTCTTATGCGTTAATTTTGACGCGCAGTGTATTATATTTAAAGATTTAAATTAATGGTAGAAGCTTTATAAAATTAAATGGCCTTATTTGAATCAATATTTTGCCAACAAATTTATCCAAAACATTAAATTAATATATTTTTGCTTAAGATAGCCAATCATTTTAAACTTACTGCACTAAATTACGTATTATTTAACAAAATTAGTAAAAAAAAAACTTATCCATGCACACCAACTCAAAAAACAAACAAAAAATCACTAAAACAAGTCGGACATGGGAGTTTCAGCTACAAAAACATAAATACATCGGCATAGGGAATTAGAGGACAATTACTACAAGGGAACGAGGGCGTGGAAAAGCGTCGGGGGGAACTGCCAACTAGACCTACCTAGTACGTAAGGGATCGGTAGCGGGTTCGGGTCCGCCGCTGCTGACCGAGGCCGATTTGACGTGGCCCTTGCCGGGCCTCAGCGTGTCTCCGGCTCCGGCGTTTTCGGAACTGCGCACCATGCGATTAATACAACGTTTTAGGGTTGGCGGGGGTTAAATTAAGAGGGGGACAGTTAATAATCATGGCAAAGTGCTTTGTCCATGGGGTTAATGGTTAATTTAAGTTTAGTCTAGCTCTACCATAGACATCTATTCACGGTAACTAGTTAAACTGAGAGGATCGTTAGCCTATATACATTATTTTTTAAGGTTATGACTTTATGGGGGTGTAATAGTCTGTAAAGTCAACTATAACAATATTTTTGTGTTTTTTTTTTTAATTTTAAATGTTTATTCAGATTACGGCATGTTAAAAACAACATCTAAAGGTGTGCAAAGTTTTTTATTTTTGGATTTTTTATATTTATAATACACTCACAGGCAAAATAATCGATCCACACAAATTTTCGATGAATTTCAATTGCAAATAACTTTTTTATTTGATGTCGGATTTAAACGAATATTAAAGAATACTGTAGATAAATTAATGGACAATCGCTCACATTTTAAAAAATTACTAAAAAATAGACGTACGTTTATAATATACAGGTTTAAACAAAAAGATGTTTTTTACCATGAGTTTAAGACACTCTGTAGAGTGGCAAAACCGTATATTGTTCTAAATTAAGTTTTATTTATCAAGTCGCATCTATTCTTAACAGTTTTGTTTTTGGTTCACCTCGATATATTTATTTTTGTGGAAAATATGGATTTAAAAAAAAACATTGCACTTTCCAATATTTTTCTGTATGAAGAACTAAGTTTGCTATGGTCCATCCATATGTTATGAAGAGTGACAGTTTTGTTGTTTCATCCCATACTTGGACATGTCATACACAACTTTTAAAAGCTATCAAATTGTTTTTTGCAAATTAATGTTTAAATTTTGAGGTGTCTTCTTACTTTAAAAAATGGATATGTCCCCGAATGATGTTGCCAAAGCCATTAATTTAATCCAGGATGGACGGTCACAGTATTACGTGGCAAGTGTTTTAAACGTCACAAAAAGTAAAGTACAAAGGCCAACATCAGTCGGAGACAAAGCTGTATAATATACAGCTTTGTCTCCGACAGTGTATATGACATGTCCAAGTATGGGATGATTCAACAACCTGTCACTGTCATCCTCCGTAGGCTATGGATGGACCATAGCAACCTTAGTTCTTCATACAGGAAAAATATTGGAAATTGCAATGTTTTAAAAAAATCCATATTTTCCACAAAATAAATATATCAAGGTGAACCAAAAACAAAACTGTTAAAAATAGATGTGACTTGATAACTAAAACTTAATTTAGAACAATATACGGTTTTGCCACTCTACAGAGTGTCTTAAACTTATGGTAAAAAACATCTTTTTGTTTAAACCTGTATATTATAAACGTACGTGTATTTTTTAGTAATTTTTAAAATGTGAGCGATTCTCCATTAACGTATCTACAATATTCTTTAATATTTGTTTAAATCCAAAATCAAATAAATTAGTTATATGCGATTGAAATTCATCAAAAATTTGTGTGGATCGATTATTTTGCCTGTGAGTGTAGTTCCTTATGTCTTTAGTAGTAGTAGTAAACGCGAGGCAAGAAAGCATCTTTCAATTGAAAACCCGGTTGGTCCGAATCACAGTGAATAATGAAATCGGCCAATCACTGGCCCCTAACAACTGATAACTAATACATATATATATATACGATAGGTAATGCACGAGGATAAAGTTTGTATTCAAGAAGATATCAAAGGAAATATTCGTGCTGAAGCGGCAGCATTTAGTTCAAATTTATTCTCAGAAAAAACCAAGGATCGCTACGAAAAAGAATATCAAGCACTTCAAATTTGACTAAAAAAAAAGTGGAAACTATAACCGAAAATGTTTTACTCTGCTGTGTCTGAGCAATCGAAAAGTTACGCGCATAACATTATATGGACAAAAATTTGTGTCTCAAACTACAGGAACATATGGACATTTCTAAGTAAGTATTACGATTAACTTCTTGTTGATGAACTCATTTTAAACGATTTTACAGGTTTACAAGACCCAAAAAATAAATCTTCCTGAAAGTTCACTCATATGGAAGATGATACTCCTTTCAAGAGGTGTGCTCTGTATAAAAAATTACACTACGCACTACGACCCTTCAATTTTCAAAGTTAACGCTTTTTTGTAGACTAAAGAAACGGCAAATGCGCCAAGAAGCATGTAGAAAAAATAGGAGGAGTTCCACAAAAAATTGCAACATTTTTAAACTTCCGAATGTTACATAGGGAATTGCTTTGGAGATCGTTGTGTACTTACATATTTAAAATATAATATTTTATTTTGAGTTATGAAATTTTGTATAAAAATACTTATATCTTATAACTTATATCTCAGTTTACATGTTCGAGGGTTTTATTTAATAACAAAAAAAAACGTTTGAAAAATAACTTTTAGGGAAATTTTTTTTAAGTAAATAAAAAATATGCTGCTAAAGACCGTATTTTTGTTAGTATACCCTGAAAATTTTGTACAAATCAAACAAACAGTAACGAAAATAAAGCGCTTTAAAGTCTTCAAAAATCACCACTTTTTAGCAAAATAATCAAAAAGGGGTAATTTTTACCGACTTTGAAGCACTGTATCTTCGTTACTGTTCGTTTGATTTGTACAAATTTTTCAGGGTATACGCTATTTCACAGCATATTTTTTATTTACTTAAAAAAAGTCCCTATTTAAGATTTTTTTGAGCGTTTTTTTATTATTAAATAAAAGGGCTTTAACAGGGTTCCCTCTTTTAAAACCATTTCAAATTCCCTGACTTTTCCAGGTTTTCCCTGACCAAAGTCCCTATAATTCCAGATAAATAAAAGAAAGACATAAAGACAATTATCTCCCAAAATAGTGTCCCATCAGAATTATGTTAAGTCAAAAATAGCGTTTATTTTTGTTAATATTTATTTAAAAATTAAATATTATAACAAAAATTAAAATAAAATTTTAATAAAAACAGTTTAACATAAAATAGATTCTTTGGTACAAAACATTCTTTGGTATACATTTACACAAATATACCATATTCATCAAAGCAATGCACAACAAACTTTAACAATTTAAAATTAATTATGACAATTGTTTTAATTATTGTTAATTGTTAGTTTGTTTATCAGGTGCATTGCTTTGCGATTTTTTATGAGTATGAGTATGAGTATGGGAACGTATGGCAAGCCCCAGATATATTGTCATCCACTGATCTCCCGGGGTTATATTACCCCCTTTCCGTTCTCCTGCGTATCCCGCCAAATCACAGCATTACCTGTGTTTGTTGGATCCGAAGTTTTTACGCCGGCTGGTAGATCCGCCCTAGGAGTTCGTGGATGACAGTGTCAAAGGTTAAGGCAGCTCCCGGGATTTTTGTCAGCCGGGTCGGGCCATACGTCCAGTTTAGGAAGGGTTTTTGGAGGACATTGAACTGACCCAAAACTAAGTACAATCCGGAATCCTCCTAAACCAGGGCTTTAGTAATAACCCCATTCATTTGGTATTCCTGAATGGGGGTGGGTGGATTAGTATGCTGCTAGCGCCTTTCCTTGATGGTGTACTTCCTGATAGCCGCTTTAGAATTGTTTGCCCCCCTGTGCGTTATTGAGTCGTATCTTCCGAACCGAAGTGTTGCCGGCCGCACTCCGCCGTAATCTTGCCCTCTGACTGACTATGTGGAAATACGTTTAACCTACTGAAATTGTCGACCCTCGAATTTTTTTTTTTTTCCCACTGTGCGTGATCCCAGTGATTCTTAGAACGGTTTATACTTAATTTATGAACCCTAACGTCTTGGTAATCTATAGATGTAAACCTAAATAAATAAATTTCTTTAGAATGGTTTCTTTTGCTTAATGTTTATCGTAACTTGAGTGATTAATGGCTTCTTATGTTATATTCACCAGTGTTGCCATTTGTAACCTAATTATCGAATTGTAACATAAATTTTTCTAAAAACAAAGCTTGAAAATTATATGTAACATAACGATTATTGTAACATAATTTTTAATACAAGTATCTGGACAAAATTAACTTAATTCTATCCAGATTAATAAATTTAATTAAGCATAAAGCCTGATTTATAGATTTTCTACCTTCCTCCCATAAAATATCAGCAATACCGTAGTGCTGTTTATAGATTCCCGTACGGTATTTATAGTTCTAAAGGTAACGGCAGCGATAACGGTAGCCAAGTTGGGCATTGAATATTATATGAACCAATTTATAGTTGTCAGTATACGTTATAACGGCAAGAGCGGCAAGAGATGACCATTTTCATCTTTTCTTACCTCATCCGCGACTCCAGCCAATCACACGGCAGTTTTTAGTTGACAGCCTCGCCTTGTAAGTTTAGTGTTTACCGCTACTTTCTGAACTATAAATCCAGCTTTATACTATTTTTAACAAATTTTTAATTTTCTAAAAATTCGATAATATTTTCAACCCTGCTTCTTTCACTTTTTTATGATTAAATTACAATAATTATTGTAACATAATTATTACAATTATTGTAACTTAATTTTCCGAAAATTCGATAATTTTATTTACCCAGTTCGATAATTTCAACTTTTACATCTGGCAACACTGCTGTTCACACACAACTTGTTTATGATATTTTTGTCTTCTTGCATTTGGTTTATTTATTTATCTTACGCCTTTTTCGATGGTTGTTTATGATTTGTCTGCTAAGTATGAGAAAATGAGGTTGTTTGTTCAAACTTACGGAAATGTTCCCATTCTTTTTTAATTTAGTTTTTGAGACAATAAAAGAACTCTTAGTATTCTTTTTGCAACATTGTGAAATGCTTTCACACAATTAGCGAATATACGGCAAGACATGCAATTGGAAAAACAACTCAGCCTGATTATTTGGTGGTGGAATCAATCCACTTCGCATGCCGCTCGCACGTGTGGCAGCCAGTAAATTTCATGGAACTGAACGTCTCTCTCACACCTCTCAACCAGGTCCAACATCTGAGGCACCACACACAATTTGCACTCTGCTGCACTTGGGACAGTCATCGCGTTTAGAATCGATTGATTCTTTACTATTTTACGGCGCCAACCAGCTATCACGTCACTACGCTTGCATCGTATACGCTGCCTAAGAGAGATTTCGACGAGCATATGCTCACACTTCAAGCGTCAAGAGCACACTGTGCATTGCTTTTTTGCGATTTTTTAGTGTGTAAAATTTTTTTGTGTAAAATCCTTGATAATTACCGCCGTTACGGCGGCGCCGTACGAAAACAATTGTTTACGATACCAGTGTTGCTAATACGGCGACTTTCAACGAAAAAGGGTCAGAAAACAAGCCGTTTTATAAATTTCCCTGACTTTTACCATAATATCAACAAATTCCCTGACTTTTGCGCTGACTTTCAAAATTCCCTGACTTTTCCCTGATTTTATTGGACTTAAACGGATTCCCTGACTATTCCAGGTTTTCAAGGATTTCCAGGTGAGAGGGAACCCTGTTTAAGGATATTTTCTCGAAAAACCCTTGAACACGTTAACTGAGATATAAGTTAAAGTATTTTTATCCAAAATTTTATAAAGATTGGTAAAGGCGTTTTAGAGTTGGGTTTTTAACTTGTTATGCGTTAATTTTGACGCGCAGTGTAATATTTTTTTTTGAGTTTTAAAAATTTTAAATATGTAAGTATAAAGTTCTTGAATACCAGGCAATATATTATTTATTATATTTATCTAATTTTTAAAAGAAAAATAAATAAAATAAAATTTTCAGAACAAAATTATTTTGTACATTTTTCGTTGAAACTGTTAATTTATTTATATTTTGTAAATTTTTAAAAAGAAAATTAACAAACATGTTTAATATTAAAACTACTAATTATTTGTCATTTATGTAAAAACTTTGCAACCTTATTTTCAGAATTTTACGAGTTTTCTACAAAAATTGGCTTGAATGGCGCTTAGTAGAAAATATACGTGAAAATAAAACACAAAAATACGTCAAAACTCGTCTCACAGCCAAAAACTCCCCCTGAAGGTTATCCCATTGAATTTTTTTGTCACTCACCTGGGTAGGTCGGCGGCCATATTGGTCTTTTCTGTGCTTTCCGATTTAGCGTCGTAGCTGATCGTCGACCTTCGCCCAACCGCAGGCCCTAAAGATAACGGTGGATTCTTAGATACAGGTCGAGCTTTAGTCGTAGCTTGTATACCTAATTCAAAGGAGAGAACAAAAAACAAAATGCCATTACACTATTCTAAAAGAGCGGGAGAATTATACAAATTAACAATAAAAATAGACGATAGTTAAATGGGGAGGGGTGGTAATTAAGACAAAGAAGCGAATTTGGTGGGGAGAGAAATACAGGGTAGACCAACCTCCTAGATATTAGTATCAAATGAAAGGGTTTAAAGGTAGACCTTATGTGAATAAAAATCTTCAAAACTTGCAAAATATTTTAGAAATTTTCAATATTTATAAAAAAAGTTAGATTTGTTCGTTATACAGGGTGGTTCTTTAGAAGTTGCTGGGGAACGGAAAAATATATCGATTTAAAATTTTTAAAACGTTTATAATTTATTTAAATCTATTTTTGTACAAAATGCCACTTCCGGTTTAACCGAAAGTGACATCAACTCTGTTATTTCAAATAGAACACCCCATATATTTTTACATTTTTAAATTTTGCATAAAAGTCGAAGTAAAATTACTATACCATCTCCTATACCTAAAGTAAATAGTTTTCGAGTTATTAATTTTTTTTCGTTAAAATTTGACAAATGCGCGTCAATTATACATAGCCTATAACTTTTTTGTTATTAGGTTTGCGGATATGGCGGTGAAATTTTTGGAATCTTAAAACATTGTTTAAAAGATTTCATCTTAATTATTTAACATTTTTCCATAAATTACCTGAGAAAAGTGAGGGCAAATTAGGCTTAAATTAACTTGAATGGTTAATAACTTTTTTTTTATTTATTTTAAATAATATATAATCAAATTGTATATTAAAAACTAAAGTTAATAATTTCAGATATATATATAACAATTTCTAAATACTATAGTATATATATATATATTGCATCAAGAAACCTGTGAACACGTAATCTGTCATTGTTTAAAATTTAATGGCGTAAATTTTTCAGGTTGTTGACTATAGTCGTCGCGGTGAGTGTTTCAAATTGCGTCATCAATGTCGAATGTCAAAAAGCGATTTCTCGACATACGGTTAACCTAGCGGTGTCTTGGATTATATACGTAAAAGAAAACAACAATAATTGTAATGCCTATGCTTGGTTCAGAATTTGATGAAGCAATTTGAAACATTCGCCGCGACAACTATAATTAAGTGTTTTGTAAAAAAATATTAAAAGAAAACAACAATAATTGTAATGTCTGTGCTTGGTTCAGAATTTGATGACGCAATTTGAGACATTCGCCGCGACAACTATAATTAAGTGTTTTGTAAAAAAATATTACTGATAAAAAATAGCAGTCAGTGACATATAAAAAAATAGACAAGCCAAGCATTTTAAAAATTTAAAAGTTTTACAAACAGTGTATGCTAATTTTGAAAACTAGATAAAGCACTATCTAATTGGAGAAAATAAAATATAAAATGTATTTTAAAATATTTTAATAACAAAAAGAATGTGTAGCTGTAGCAATTAAATAAACCAACTATATTTTAATTAATAACTTTTATTGCGTATTTAAAATGTTTAAAGTGTGCTCCATTAACATTTGAGATGTTCTTAAATCTTACTTTTACATTAGATGTTGCTCTTCTTGACTAAAATATTGTTGGTTTATTGTTACACTTATACAAGCTGAAAAATTGACGCCATTAAATTTTGAACAATGACAGATTACGTGTTTATAGGTTTCTTGATGCAATATATATATATATATATATATATATATATCGATGACTTTCTGCCAAAGTATCGCAAGCAACAAAACTCAAATTTCGGGAATTGAAAACATTTTTTGTTTTAAAGTCTGTTTTAAACCATATATAACCTATATGTTATATAACAAGTAAATAGCTATAATTATAAGCTAAGCAATTACTTGTTATAAAACCTTTAGGCTATATTTAATTTAAAGCAGACAAGCAAAATGTTTTCAATTCCCGAAATTTGGGTTATGTTGCTTGCGATACTTTGGCAAAAAGTCATCGATATATACTATAGTATTTAGAAATTGTTAAATATCTCTGAAATTATTAACTTTAGTTATAGGAAATAGTAACATCAATCAAAAGGTTTTTAATATACAATTTGATTATATATTATTTAAAATAAATAAAAAAAAAGTTATTAACGTTTCTTGTCCCAAAAGTCAACGATATCTTTTGAAGGACTAATAGGTCAGCTCATTACTAATCAGAATATCAAAACATGACCTTAGTAAAAAATCATTAGTTTTTATGAATTTTGAGTGCCACAACTACAACATTCTATATTCTTAGATTATTTTATTTTGCGTAACCCTGAATAGGACTGCTATTAATTACAATTCAAAATTAAATTAATAGTAGATTTTGTAGCTGTGGCACTCGAAAAACTGATCTACGGTGTCAAGTTTTACAAAATTCATAAAAATGACTATATCTCAAAAACTAACGATTTTTTACCAAGGTCATATTTTGATTTTCTGCTTAGTCATGAGTTGGTCTATCAGTCCTCCAAAGGATATCGTTGACTTTTGGGACACCCTGTATATAAAATTTTAGAAATTGTTAAATATCTCTTAAATTAAGAACTTTGGGTATAGGAAATAGTTACATCAATATAAATGTTTTTTAATTTACTATATGATTAGGTTATAAACATACATTTAAAATAAAAGAGTTTTTAACTTTTCAAGTTAGCCTAATTTGCCCTGGGTTTTTTAGGTAATTTTTTGAAAAATGTTAAAGAAATGACAAAGAATATTTTAAATAATACTTGAAAAAGGAGAACTTTGGTGATATGTTTAACAAATATTATAAATATTCCCCAACATCGTTGGCGAAAAGTACTTTAAGCACTTTGTGTTATGCTTTGGTGTTGGGAAATATTTCTAATATTCGTTTATTTTAAACAATGTTTTAAGATTCCAAAAATTCTATTTGAAATAACAAAGTTGATGTCAATTTCGGTTAAACCCAATGTGGCATTTTCAGGGCTCCCACGGTTAAATTACAAATTTTATTTAGGAATTTAGGAGGTTTTTTGGAGAATTTTAGGAGAAAAAAGTATGCAAATGAATTTATTTAATTAAATAAAAACAACTCTACACTAAAAAGTAAGAAAAAAATAAGTAATTCTTTTTAACAAAAATATAAATAAATATCACTTCTTTTGTACAAATAGGTTATATTGACTAGTTTTTTAGCCAAATCGCTCGACGAGTTTTTTTAAATAAAATGAAAAGTGAGGTAAAATTACTACTTTTGTATATATATACAAGTAGAAATTTCACCACACTTTTAATTTTATGTTTAATGATGTTATATTTATATTTTGAAAAAAAAATTAACAGTTTAGTTCATAACTAACAATAATTGTAATGTTATTGTTACTAAAAAATCTCATAATAGAAAAAATATAAAGTGCATGTACAGCAAAACATTCTTTAGATTGTTTACTATTTTAGCTATCATTTAAAAGAAAATTAAAATCCTTTTGTTTGATATATAACACGGTATATTTTTGTCGAAAATTAACGAAATATGGCTAAAAATGACAATTTTGTAGAAGTCTAGAAGCTACTACATGGATTTTGTTTTATGGTATATTTTGTTGTTTTTTAAGAAAAATGTAGGTTGTGATACCTATATCATTTTAAAAAGAATTTAATAAACTAGAACCCAAAACTATATATATTTTATAAATTACTTTTTAAAAAAGAAATTTTTTAGCACAACTACCTTAATTAAACGCAGTCAAGTTGGCCTACTTATATTTAATTTTTAGGAGTTTTAGGAGATTGATTGATTTAAGCCAAATTTTATGAATTTTAGGAGGTGTGGGAGCCCTGCATTTTGTTCAAAATATTTTAGAAAAATAGACTTAAACGCCTTTAAAATTTCAAATCGATATATTTTTCCGTTCCCCTGAAATTACTAATGGACCACAACATTAATGATTAATGATATCTATAGCTTTTTCTGGGAAAGGTATATTTTTAACACTTGTCAAATTGGTCTACCCTGTAGTCTAAAAGGGGTCATCTACATTAAAATTGGTAAATTTAATAACGAAATTATTGTCACCTGTTTAGAGTAATAATATTTTTTCGACTTACTGTTTTCCGTGGCGGTTTTGGGTTGAGCGCTGGCAGGCCGCGAGTTGTGTCGCACGCTGTTCTCTTTGATGGTGGCGCTGTCGACCGTGTTTTGTCTTTTGAAGCCCGATTGGTGGTTGTTGCTCTGCGTGGCCGGCACCTGTTGCTGGCCCGTTCTCAACGTTTCGCCTAAATGAGCACACGAAATGAACGTTTTATTTCGAAATGACGTATCGGGATCCCAAAAATTGACGTTTAAGTTATGTTAGGAAGAGTTTTTCATTATTTCATTCCATTGATTTATTATTTATTATTTAATAAAAAAAAAGCTGGATGCCAACCAGATAAAAATATATACAATATAACAAAAAATAAATGTGTTTTTCGGGAATTTTTTATATTGGCTCTAGTTTTTGAGCTATTATAGTTTTAATTTTAATTAATTTATCGGCAAAAAAACCGGCCACTAGAAATTGGCCAGAATTTTAATGCTGATTTCTTCTCGAACTGCTGATCTGATTTTGTTGATTTTTTTCTTAATTGTAGATTGACTCTTCAGTTACAATGCTATGATAAAAATTTGTATTTAGATTTTAATTTGAGCATATACAGGTTGCAAAAGGAAAAAGAGTTTTTTTCCGAAATTTGTGACACCCTGTGGGATGCATGAACAATAACAGCGGTTGTCAATTAACATTTTGATGTAGTCTTATCTTTTTAAAACATTTTGTTTTTTATTCACGCCATTATCTCTGTTATTAACGTAGAAATATTTTTAAAGGAAAAAAATCGCTTTGACTCCCTGTATATGCACAAATTAAAGTTCGCGAGGAAATCATAAGATCACTTTATCCAAGGAGTTAAAAACGTGAAGAAAGAAACAAAATGTTCATACAAGATAGGACTATAGTATAATTTTAATTGACATCCACTGGTATTGCTGATGCACTGGAAAAATTGGTTCTTACTTTTGCACCCTGTATATGCTACATTAAAAATCAAAGTAATGTCTAATATAGCATCATTACGCAGGATTCAAACTGGATTTTAAAAAATCATCAAAATCAGATGAGCCGTTTGAGAGGAAATCAACATTAAAATTATTGCCAATTAGTGGTGGGCAGTTTTTTTGCCAATGAGTGTATATAAAAAAGTTTAAACTTAAAAAAAATACTGCGGAAATGAATTTTTTTACGCCAGCAACTATGAAAAAGTTTTTTGCCTAAAAATTTTTATATTAAAAAAAAATATAAAATTAACCTCGAAAACTAGAGCAAATAAAAAAAAAATCCCAAAATACATATTAATTTTTTTTGTCGAGTCAGTTCCAGATTAGATTTTTTAGTGCTTTTTTACGATTTTTTTTAACTAAAATTTCACAGAAAAATAAGGTTTTAAACGTTTTTTTAAATGTTTTTATGGCATTTAGTAAGTGGTGACATTTATAATTAATTTAGAAAATAAGAAGATGAAATATGCATTTTTAAAATTAAATTATTTCTTTAGAGATATTAATAAAATAAATTAACATGTATGAATAAATATTAAAAAAATTATACATATTATAATTAATAGATTCATCTTGCAAAATGTTATGAAGTTTGTCAATTTTTGTGTATATTACAGTTTTTATACTTACACACCAAAAGGCTAGATTAGTTTGGTTTAAAAGCATGCAATACTTATACCTAAATAAAGTACATAATACTGACCTATTGTGCCACCTAGAAGCAAAAACAGAGAAATGGAAGGTCAGATATTGAGGATAAAAAGAAAGAAAACATAACTCGAGTTGTAATGACAATTGAGTACATCTTTATAGGATAATTGTATATTCTTTTCTTTTTAAATGATGTTAATGTTTTCTAATATACTCCTACAAAATTTTTATGCATTAAAAAAAACAGTTTTGCAATTTTGTCTCTTAAAAAGTGTTAATGTTACTCTAATATTAACACTTTTGGTCATGACAAAATATGGAACACATTTTCTTACTGCACCTAGAGGTTTAGTGTTCTAGACAACATATCTAGCGATAAACTTGTTAATAATAGCAAATACATTTCTCTAATAGAAAATTTAGACACTACAACAACAAAATAGCGATTCTATCGCAACTTTTGCAGGTTTTCTCACTTGCCAATACAAAACTCAACAAATCACTATGTCCCAAGTAAAAAAATAAGGCAGATCACTTTTTGACATGGGACAGCAAATACATAACTAAGAAGCTCTCAATTTTGTACTTACCGCCGCTGGAGGCTCTTCTGTTCGGTTTCGACTGCGTGGCCGAGATCGACCGGTGCACGCCGCGGTGCGGGCTCTGCGCAGTAGGTTGCGGCGCACCCACCTGTTGCTGTCCGGTCATGTTCCGCAGCGAAAGGCTGCTACCGCTGCGACTGCCATCGCTCTCAGGCTAAAAATTATGCATAATGAACATTTATCAAGGCCACACCAGTTACACTTTACCAAAAATCTAATCATTTTCAAGGTGTTTTTTAAAACTTTCTTGTAGATTTTTAGTGAAGTTTAACTGGTATGGCCTTGGTAAATGTTTTCAGAATTCGATATAAATTTTTAATTGCAAAAATCACGTTGAAGTGTTTTAAGAAACCCTACTTAATAGGGCTGTACAATTTAGCCGGTTAAGCCGGCTAAAAAAGTTAATAAAAGTTAATTAGCTAGCTAACTGATCAGCTTAGCTAATTTAACCGGTTAACTAAATTAGCTTAGCTAATTAGCTGACGGCTTAAGCTTAATTTTCATGTATCCGTTTGTCCGTTATACGTTTTTCAATAAAATCGTCCGATACGAAATGTTCTAATTTTCATGCATCTGTTTTTTAATGACGTTTATTGGATTGATTTGGCGACAAATAATAATTAAGGGTCAGTATATTCACTTTACTAAATTTACCTATTGCTTAATTGTCATAGTTACAATTATGTCAACAATTGTAACTTTAACAGGTAGCTGTCTAATAAATTTAAAGGTAGGTAAATATACCATATAAAAAGAATATACTAGCCTTAATTTACATTAAAATGTATAGTTTTATAAAGCAGGTCCTTTTAGTTCTGGTTTTATTATTTTATTGTTTGTCTTTTCTTTTTTTCTGTTATTATTATTAAATAAAAACATAAAAGTGGAACATTATTCACATAACGAACGTTATATTTCCGTTTTACAATCTTATTAAAAGAATATTAAAAGATTTGAAAATAAAGTATCTTAAAATAACGTTAGGCGTCAAAAACAGATGTGTAGTGACAGATTAGTTAAAATTATTTTAAATTTCTCCGTCAGAAGTACGAAGTTAAAACTTGACGGACCGAAAAAATGTCATAATTTTTAAATTATAATTGGACCAATAAGAGCGCTCCCGGATGAACGGACTAACGGATACATGAAAATTAAGCTTTAGCCGGTTAAGCCGGCTAAAAAGTCAGCTAAGTTAATTAGCTAGCTAACTGATCAGCTTAGCTAATTTAACCGGTTAACTAAATTAGCTTAGCTAATTAGCTGGCGGCTTAACCGGTTAATCTAGCTTAGCTTAGCTAATTAGCTAAGCTAATTCAGTTAACCGGTTAAATTAGCTAAGCTGATCAGTTAGCTAGCTAATTAACTTTTTTAGCTGGCTTAACCGGCCAAATTGTACAACCCTACTACTTAATCAATTAAAGATTTAAGTTTGTAGCTAATAATGTTCCGGATTATTCCGTATATTTAGACAGCGCCTACAGAGTTTATTATAAGAGAATTATAATAGAAAAAAACTTTAAATACAAAAGTTAACAAATTATTATTGCAAAGTTAGTAAAAAATACAAACTTGGCAAATCTTCATTGAAACACCCTGTATATTATAAAAAAAAATAATAAACCTTTATTTCCTGAATTTTAAAATACATAATATGTTTGTATTTTTTATTAACTTTGCGATACTTATTTATTTTACGTAAAATTGTCTGTCGATTTGGGTCAAACCCTACAACTTTTGTATTTAAAGTTTTTTCCTGTCTCTTATAATAAACTCAGAAGGCGCTGTCTAAATTTACGAAATAACCCTATACAAAAGAATACTGCAGAAGTAAAACAAATAAGCAGGAATGTTTTAAATTGAATAACATCAACATCAAAATGAAGATTTATAAACAATAAAATGGAAAAATATAAAAAGAAGTTATGGGATATAATATTTAGAAAATTGTAGTTCTTACAACCGGTTTTTAAAAAATAATTGGTTTTTAAAACAACATTGTAAAAATATAATAATAAATTTGTCCCTTTTGTGAGTTCTGAATTTGACTAATTAAAAATTATGAACTAATAAAACAATGTAAAAATGAATGTAAAAAATACAATTTGTACTATAAATTTATGTTCATAGTGTTTTTGACAAAATTAGAACAAACAGAAGGGGAAAAATTTATTATTATTTTGCCATTTTTTTGTTTTTCCAATTAATTTTACGTCTACTGTATAAAAAATTAAGGTTCAAAATAACCGGTAAAAGGTTCTGCCAAAAAGGCTGACATTTAAAAATAAGAAATGCCCATTTGTAATCCATTTATTGGGCCTTTGGTGTAGATATAAAAATAAATAAAATGAGGAGTAAAATAAAAACAAAATAAAAGGATTTAATAATTAACCATTCATTATGTAAAGTACTTTCTTAATAAAAAAAGGTTTTTATTGTTTGTTCAATGTCTAGGTACTTTTCAATAACAAATAAATAGATAATTCTTGAGTCAATATTAAAAATAAAAAATACACCATTGAATGGATATTTTTATTTCTGTAACCTTAACCAAAGTGGTATTCGTCTCAAGTATGAATATCCTCATTAAATATACTTAAAATTATCCAAAATAATTCGATAACTCGGTAATTAGTTATAAAACATTTTGAAAAAAGTAAAAGCATATAAAAAAGTAATTGTGAGCTAGAAGAAGAAATTTATTATACAAATCTTAAAACCTGAATTTTAAAAGTGAAGAAAAAAATGTATATCAATTATTTAATAAAGATACATTATTTAAAAAACTTAAAACATATGATGAAAAATAATTGTAATCTTTTTAATATTATGTGAGTTGGCAATAATTTAATAAAAACTTGAAATTTAAAAAATAATGATAAACTTTAAATTTAAGTTTTAACTTTAACATAATAAAATTAAAGTTTTTTATTTAAACTTTTCATACATCAGTTGGCAATAATTTAATAAAAATTTGAAATTTAACAAGTAATGATAAAATTTAAATTTAAGTTTTAGCTTTAACATAATAATATTAATGTTTTTTATTTAAACCTTTTATACATCCCTCTGTTAGTTTTTGTGTTAAACTTTACTTTTATTACTTAATAAATGATAAATAAATCTTTTTTTTTAACATTTGGTGTTGCCAGATAAAAAAAAATTTGCAATAACAAATAAATAGATAGTTCTTGAGTCAATATTAAAAATAAAAAATACACCATTGAATGGACAATTTTATTTGTGTAACCTTAACCTAAGTGTATGTGTTATTAGTCTCAAGTATGAATATACTCATTAACTATACTTAAGTTATCCAAAATAATTCGATAAAACTCGGTAATTATTTATAAAACATTTTGAAAAAAGTAAAAGTATATAAAAAAATAATTGTGAGCTAGAAGAAGAAATTTATCATACAAATCTTAAAACATGAATTTTAAAAATTAAGAAAAAAATGTATATCAATTAATTTAATAATGATACATTATTTAAAAAACTTAAAACATATGATGAAAAATAATTGTAATCTTTTTAATATTATGTGAGTTGGCAATAATTTAATAAAAACTTGAAATTTAACAAATAATGATAAACTTTAAATTTAAGTTTTAACTTTAACATAATAATATTGAAGTTTTTTATTTAAACTTTTCATACATCAGTTGGCAATAATTTAATAAAAATTTGAAATTTAACAAGTAATGATAAAATTTAAATTTAAGTTTTAGCTTTAACATAATAATATTAATGTTTTTTATTTAAACCTTTTATACATCACTCTGTTAGTTTTTGTGTTAAACTTTACTTTTATTACTTAATAAATGATAAATAAATCTTTTTTTTTAACATTTGGTGTTGCCAGATAAAAAAAATGTGTTGGTCTAGAAAACGATATTTAAAAATTTTCTACTTACGTCTGTGCTCTTTCTTCCCAGCAGCAAGTACGTCGCGTAGGCGTCGTCGTATTTCGCCGAAACGAGCGAATTTTCCACGTCGTACTTGTTGAATCCTAACGAGACTAGAGCGTCGATCCTCTTCGGGTCGCTCATGTCCGCCTCGGGCTCGATGTACGGCTTGAGCTCGTCATTGTCGTATCTGGAAGAGCAAAATCGCGCATAAATCTTACCCTAGATTTGCGTTTTCGAACCCAAACGCGCTGGGTTTTAGCTAACACCATGAGCCAGAGATGCAAATGAGAATGGGAAGCTGTCGCTGCACCTTTAGTACGCAAAAATAAACTTTTCTAATGATATTAAAGAATTCGTATATTTTTTATACGTTTTCAATTGAGAAAGTGGCTGAACTGAAAAAAATGGGGTAGTTAAATTTTTTCTGACCTATACTTTTTATGGTTTTATTCAAGGCGTTTTGTAATTTTAAACATTTCTGTGAAATCGGAATTTCAATTAAGTTTACCGTTTTCGAGATATTTACAAAAAAAAATCTCCTAATTACGTCACTAGGCTATTGACAACGTTGCCAGCTTTTTTTATGGTTGCCAGTGTGTTTAGTTTAAGATTCTTACGATAGATGGCGCCAAGTTATAATATTTTGGTTTTCAAACCACTTGATCTATAATTTTAGTTGAGAAGAAGAAGAAGAATTGATTTTTTAACGTTTCTTTTTTTCGGGTTATGTTTTTTTTAAATTTAGATTATTGAAAATCAATGTTATTGTTATGTTATTTGTAATTGATATTAGATAAGTGATTTATTAATAACGGACTCCAAAGCAGAGGAATCTTTTGGAATGGTTGGATACATTGAACATTGGAGCTTTTAAACAAATAAAGTAAGTACCTATAATTATAATCATATTTTGTCGTAAATGCATTTCATTAGTATAATGCCTAGTTCTTTATATTCTTTTAGATATATCTTGGACTCTAAAATATCAAACAGTAATATGATACCTCGTAATAAGGAAGATAGGTACTTAATGAATTTTGTGTACATAACCGAATGAAATTATTAACAAGACAACTTGACAACAGGGTAATTTTTATCCAATAGAAATCTTAGAATGTTGGTCACATGGCGAGGTTTGTGACGTCATAAAAATTTATATTTTTTGTAAACATCTCGAAAACGGTAAACTCAATTGAAATTCTGATTTCACAGAAATGTTTAATATTACAAAACGCCTTGAATAAAACCATAAAAAGTATAGGTCAGAAAAAATTTAACTACCCCATTGACCTCTTCCTCCAAGATTTTACAGCTCTGCAAAATTAATTGATAAATTAGGAGAAAGTTTGGTTAGACCCGCCCGACAGTTGTCTGATTGTATGATAGTATATAAGGGGCGACTATAATGATTTTTAAAAATTCTTTAATAAAAATAGAAAAAGTATAGTGAAGCCAGTAAAATTGTAAGATTTTATATAGGGAACCCAATACTTGAATGCCGGTTGGAATTTTTATATTTTTATTTTTTTTAATTATCAAAAGAGCAATAATTTAATAATACGGATTTGGATTGAAACCATCTCTATGACAATGTCTGTTCTATATCGTTTCGCGCATACTAAAAATCACAAAATTAGGCAAGCCACTTTAACGGCGGCCATTTTTATGTTTTTTACAATTCTTTGTATACAGATTAAAATCGTTTTAAACTTTGTGTTTCTTACAGTCACTTGTAAGCCTCAAATAAGGCCTTAGTGCCAAGGAAAACCATTTTATTTCTCCTTTGCACAAAATTAAATTCTATTTAACTGTCAAATGTCAATTTACCATACCCACAAATTAACCTTAAAATTGACATTTGACAGTTTATTTTTTACAAAAGAGGAATAACTTGAAAAAACCCCCAATTATAATATTAAAAAGTTAATTTTTGGTGTACCTTTTAACTAAGGAGCACTATATCAAAAGCCATTAATCGAAAATTTTATACAGAGTGTCTGGTATTTACTTTTTTGTTACTTTAAATATCAATAACTTTCTTATTTCAAACTAAACTACCAAACAATTTTCACATCATTCAACACAAAATAATGTTTTTTTTTTGAAATGTTGCAGCATTTTCTATACCTAAAATAAAAATTTACAGAGATATTACAAAAAATGTGAAAAAACTGCTTATTTTGTTATTTGTAATGTCAATAGCTGGCCATACACAGGCGTTATTTCGCGCGGTTTATCGTGGCGTGTTGGGATGTAGCGGTTAGTATGCACGAAAGAACGGCATGGCAAAAAAAGCGTCATGTTCCATACACTTGATAAAGTATTCAAATGATTTAGCAAGTGATTGCCCGTGGTATATCAGTTTCAAAGGAAAAATCGTATGTGAGTGGGCAAAAAGTGCCATTTATCGAGTCGTTTGAAACTGCATGTGATCATGTACAAATTTTCAACGTGAAATTTTGCCAAGCAAAGGTAAACCGTGACGCGGAATGTGGCGTGTGGACACTCCACACTCCAGAGGAAAGCACGTCTGAAATCCCTTCCCGTTCTATCATTGCGCGCGGCGATAAGCTGGCCATACACAGACGTTATTTCGCGCGGTTTATCGTGGCGTGTTGGCATGTAGCGGTTTGCATGCACGAAAGAACGGCGTGGCAAAAAAAGCGTCATGTTCCATACACTTGATAAAGTATTCAAATGATTTAGCAAGTGATTGCCCGTGGTATATCAGTTTCAAAGGAAAAATCGTATGTGAGTGGGCAAAAAGTGTCATTTATCGAGTCGTTTGAAACTGCATGTGATCATGTACAAATTTTCAACGTGAAATTTTGCCAAGCAAAGGTAAACCGTGACGCGGAATGTGGCGTGTGGACACTCCACACTCCAGAGGAAAGCACGTTTGAAATCCCTTCCCGTTCTATCATTGCACGCGGCGATACTCACTCACGTACATGATTTTCCATATGTTTTTGCAGATAACACGATAAACCGCGCGCAATAACGTCTGTGTATGGCCAGCTAATGTCAACGTCTCTGACAATTGTGTTACAATTGGTGATAATGATTACACTAATCAAGATATTCTACATGTTTTATACATATTATGGCGAGTGCGGTAAAGTTTTAGAAAGTTTCAATTGTTCTTTCTATAACTTTTACGCATTTGTCATAAGTCTAAAACATGTTAAGAATATTAGGGTGGTCGTTAAAAATTAAATTTTTTGCGAAGCCCCCTAAAAAGCTTCTTTTAGATGAAAAAACACTGGAAAAGTTTTTTTAAATTTTTTAATTAAAAACAACACGTGCCTCAAGACGATCTAAGTTAATTTTTTGGTATAATCATGTTTTTTTGGGAATTTTTTATGAAAAATAAAATTTTATTCAAAATACAAACAATTATATCAATAAAATCAATAAAAAAACAATAGTTAATCGAAAAAACAATAGCCAAAAATTTAAATTCAAAATTTTTCCCAGTTGATTTGGTCTATTAAACAAAAAAAATTAAAGATATTCAAATTGATATTTTTATTTTAAAACTAAATAAGTACAAACGTATATTCAAAAATAAAATTTTATTCAAAATACAAACAATTATATCAATAAAATAACAATAGTTAATCGAAAAAACAATAGCCAAAAATTTAAATTCAAAATTTTTCCCAGTTGATTTGGTCTATTAAACAAAAAAAATTAAAGATATTCAAATTGATATTTTTATTTTAAAACTAAATAAGTACAAACGTAATTTCAATATCTAGATTTCTTCATTCCAAAAAAATTATTATTCCATATTTTCAGAAAAGATATGATTATACCAAAAAATTAACTTAGATCGTCTTGAGGCAAGTGTTGTTTTCAATTAAAAAAAAAATTCCCAGTGTTTTTACATCAAAACGAAGCTTTTTAGGGGGCGTCGCAAAAATTTAATTTTTAAAGAATATATTGATTAGTATAATTATTATCACCCATTGGAACACAATTGTCAGAGATGTTGACATTGACATTACTTTATAAATACTAAATAAAAGACAATCCAATGCACACTACTGATATTTTAATTTTTTTCTAATATCTCTGTAATTATTCATTTTAGGTACAGGGAATGTTGTAGCATTTCAATAGAAAACACTATTTTGTGTAAAATGATGTATTGTTTTGTAAAATTGAAAAAAGATGGTATTTGGTATTGGTATTTAAAGTGACAAAAAAGTCAACGTAAATACCAGACATCCTGTTTAAAAGTTTCAAATACTATTAATGGCTTTCAATATAGTGCTTCTTAGTTAACAGGTCCACCATAAATTAACTTTTTAACATTACAATTAGTGGTAATACAGAGATATTAGTAAAAAAAATTAAATATCTCAAAAACTGTTGAAAATAAAAAAAATAATCAAATTTTAGTATTTGGAATTTCACTTAGAATTTAAAAGTGCAATATTTCCATTTGAAAAACCAAAGTTGATATCACTTCCGGTTTAACCGGAAGTAATAACGCATTAAAAATAATTTTAAAAGTAGTTTTTAGTTCTCTATAAACTTCTAAAGAATGACTTAAATGAATCACCCTGTATACTTTTTAATTTATGATCTTTTGAGGTATAAAAGTACTGGGTCAATATACGCTTTTACTGGCCTATATCTACTAAAAGTTAATTTTTGTATATCAAGGTGTGGCGACCATATTTCAGTATTAATGTAAGATGATTGTGTTGTCAGTGTGTGTTTGATAACCAAAAATAAAGTGTTTCGGTAACAACAAAAATAAATTTTAACTTGAATACCATTTATTCTCTACAATCACTTTGTCTTATACCCTGTTTTAATAATAATAATGATTTAAAAATAATACTGTTTTTATTTGTTACGCATACTACGCTAATTTAATTTTTAGGAACAATTAGTCCATCAGACAGTTGTTGTGTCCATTTTTGAAGCACTTAAAACATTTCCAATGCCAGTTTGATGATGTAGAATCATCTAAAAATTGAAAATATTTCAAGTCAAATAAATGTTCTAATAAAAAATAAACACACTAACTGGTCAAAACGTTTAAAAACTTTGCGTTGCCGTTAATATTAAAAGTTAATAACCGGATTAAGGCACTTTTAGTTTAAGCCCGTTTAATTTTCGTTTCGGCACTAATGTACTTTTTGAAACTTTGATAGCAAGAATGAATTATTTGACCAGAAAGTGTATCTTGACTACAAATTTATGTGCATACACTGTTTGTGAACAAAAATAAAGTTTATTTCAACCAAAAACAACTCAGGCCAAAAAATATACCCTGAAAAATTACCCAGAAACATTAAGTTAGAAATAGTATCGAAATAGATATATTTTATTGGGTGTTTTAATATTAACAAAGTTTTGCTAACTAAAAATAAATTGAAGGGGTAAAAGTTAGTGAACATTACACTATTTTTTAGTACACATCAAATCGACTTGATTTAAAATTTGGATTCAAAATATATAACTCAAAATAAATATTTAAAATTACATATATACATACAATATATATATTGCATATTCAAAAAACGTATAAAATGCACATATTATTTTGAATATTTTTAAAGGGTATATTTATTTATTCCTGTATAATTTTCTGGGCATATTAAAACACGTTATCATTAAAACACTGAAATATTCTTTTATCTCTTAAAGTGTGTAGATTGTGTAAGTGTCAACAACTCAATTTTTAATTACATTTAATTTGAATATGGCTTCAAAACGTAATAATAAATGTACACATATCTAACAGACATACATTCAAAAAGCATCTAAATAAACGACTATAAATTACATGCATGTTATTAGGAATGAGTAAATTATTGTGTACCCACAAAACATGTTGACTTCTAAATTAATTTTTAAGAATAATTAGGTAATTAAATTTAATTGGCGTAATTATGGCTAACCTAAAAACCGAATTAATGCTTTTAAAATTGCTTTTCTTAAATTACTAAAACGCTGTTATTATTTTTATTTGGCCAATACAATATAGAAAGAAGATAAAACTAGATGATTAGATAACTTTATTTGTTTGTACTGAGTGATATCATAGAAAATGAAAAATCAATAGTAACATTAGCAGTAACCTAATAATTTTATACTACGTCTACTGAATCAAGCAGAATAAACCAAGCAAAATAATACGATTCCTTTTCCTTTATCTTGAAAATTATATATCGTGTAATTATTGTCACGATGCAACATACACTAAGGACTAGACAAAAAACGACCAACACACCCATAAAAATAGAACATCGATTTTAAACATACAAAAATACCTTTTCTTATTGCCATCTAGGACGCAATCCCTGTAACATAGAGGAAAAATGGTAACTAAAGGGGAGGATTACACATTCAGCTGTATATACAGCAGCCAAGAAAACATTATTTTTGTGACAATGAATATGGGGAGATAAAACATGCAGAAATGCTTTGAAAACATTAATATACAAGGTGTCCCTGAAATGCCTGTAAAAAATACACTGCCCGTCAAAATTAACGCATAATAAGTAAAAAAATTCTAACTCTAAAACGCCTTTACCAATCTTTATGAAATTTTGAATAAAAATACTTCAACTTATATCTTAGTTTACGTGTTCAAGAGTTTTCAAAAAAATATCCTTAAAGCCCCTTTATTTAATAATAAAAAACGCTCGAAAAAAAACTTTCAGAGAAATTTTTTTTTTAGTAAATAAAAACTATTTTGTGAAAGACCGTATTTTTGTAAGTATACCCTGAAAATGTTGTAAAAATCAAACGAACAGTAACGAAAATACAGCGCTTCAAAGTCGTCAAAAATGACCATTTTTCAGCAATATAATCAAAAAGGTGTCATGTTTACAGACTTTGAAGCGCTGTATATTCGTTAATGTTCCTTTGATTTGTACAAAATTTTCAGGGTATACTAACAAAAATACGTTCTTTAACAGCATATTTTTTATTTAGTTAAAAAAATTCCCTAAAAGTTATTTTTGGAACGTTTTTTTATTATTAAATAAAAGGGCTTTAAAAATATTTTCTCGAAAAACCCTCGAACAGGTAAACTGAGATATAAGTTGAAGCATTTTTATACAAAATTTCATAAAGATTGGTAAAGGCGTTTAAGAGTTAGAATTTTTACCAAAATAATGCGATTTAACTAAATTTATAACCAAGATACAGCATGTCAAAGTAAAAAGTAATTTTTATTAAAACGTAAATACACTAAGCCGCAAAAAAGATGCGACCATTTAAAGTGTCGCAGACAGCGCCCTCTACAACATACAATAATGTTTTTATTTTATTTTCCCGTCCTCTAAAATTCCCGAATATCAAAGTTTGAGCAAAACCGTTTGTTTTTTCCAAAGTTATTTGATAAAATCGAAAACGAAGTTCCAACTTTGACACCCTGTATCTTGGTTATATTTTCAATAATATGCGGTATTATTATGTACCGACATTTCAGAGACACCTAGTATACATGTTTAAGCTGCTATTTTTAAGTTTTTATCTTGGTAAACACTGAAAAAAATCAGTTAATGATTTTCGTTGAAATGTAATTATTATGTTTAATAACTTGATAATAAAATTGAATTGAGTAGGAAACCCCCATTATTTTTATAGATGGTTTTTTGATTTTATTTGGCCAGATCAAAGTACATATACTGGTAAATTTAAAAATTGCCCCATAGAACTTTTTCCTTTACCAAACAATGTAAATGGTTTTATTTGTTTATATAACCTAATAAAAGTAATCAAAAAAAAAATTAACAGTATGTAAATTGGTCATTTTGTTAATACATCTCAAGTTGTTGCTGTTAGGTCATGGCTATTGAATCATTAGTCATTTTTTATAATTATAATTGGGTTTTATTGTTTTTGAACTAATTGTTAAATTTTAACTGTGTATGGAAAATTTAATTGTGCGTTGTTATTTTTGCAAACTATAAAATGCACGTCTAGTTAATTGGAAGTAATTTTTTAAAATTTATTTTAGTAATAAATGGGGGCACCAGTTAACCTTCTATATATGGGTATATTTTTATTTAAAGAGCTACAAGGTCGGTTAAATGGCATTTAAAAATTGGAAAAAATTAGCGGTTTTCAAATAATTTGAAAAAAGTAAAACCTTTCAAAACCAAAAAACGGTAAACTGCTTAAAAGTAAGTTGCAAAGGTAAACATAAACATTTATTTACATTTTCATCCAGTTTGTCTTTCCTTTGCCTACCAGCTTTTAAGTTACCCCCCAAAAAATCAAGAAATCAAACAATGTATCAAACTACATGGTGGCCATAGAAAAAATATAGTAGCAAAGATATTTAATGAAAATTTAGATTAATGTGTATGTTTACATATTAAACTAACTTGTTTTTAAAATTCCCAGCAACAACAATTTTTTGTTTTGAAAGGTTTTTAGTTCCAATATTTTAAGAACCGCTGGCTTTTTTTCCAACTTATATATTTTATTTTAATATTACACAGATTTTCTTTAATTTAACCAACCTTGTAGGTCTTCAATTAAATGAATATAATACGCAAAGAAGTATTATAATAGAAGTATAATTATTACACATTGAAAGAAACTTGGTGCACCCTGTATAATATGCATTGGTAAATAACAAAAAATGTTAATACCCAGTATTACTGGCGCATTGTCACCACACAACTTTCAAGTAATTTTGAGTACCGTAAACACGGGTGGCTTTAGCTCTCTTTCAAACTTAATCTTAACATTTTTGTAGTTTTAACAATCATAAACATTAAATATTGTATACCAAAATTTGAGTCTTGAGATGCTCTTTCATAATAACTATGTTATAATCTTACATAGGGCTGAGTTTCAAAAATAAAAATTAAAATCTGGGTGTGCAAAGTTACCCCCTGGTTGCGGGTTACTAATATAGAAACTGAAACGCGTGTATCTTTAAGAGTTTTGCACTAATGCAATATATACAACTTTAAAGTGTAATAAATCCCATTTATTTTTTAAAACACTGATTTTCCTGTAATATAAACTAAATAAAATCGCTCAATTGACAGGTTTAGACCAAAAAATTATAAATGTTAATTTTATCGAGCGTCACCCTTGTTTACGGTACTCAATTTTTTTTTTTTGAATTTTAACGTTTTAAGAAATAAATAATTAAGAAATAAAATTAATGTCTTATATATTTTATTCGGTTTGTTACCTTAACAACCGCGATTACATGTGGATTATTTCATCTTATGGCAAACAGTGTTAAATATCTCAAAAACAAAATTTGTTATTTTTCGTATCTAAAATTACCTTTATGAATAAAAAAATTAAACATTTCTAAAAATAACAAATTTAAGTTAAAAAAAAAATTAACTTTCAACTTGCGATCTGACCAAATTATTGATTTTTAACAAATACGTAAATCGCATTTTCAGAAAAGGTTAAATCGCATATTTACCTGTCGAGATTTTTTTGTAATTCCTTTTGTTGTTCGCTATATAATAAAAATACAAATAATTTAATATAAATTAGAAAATAAATAAAAAACATATCTAAATTTCGAAGTAAAGGTACTTTTTTGGAATAGATTATCTACCATACTTGTAACTTTACGCATACTTTGGATAATATTCAGAGATTTAATCCCTTTTCAAAATACGCAAAGTATTGTTATTTTAATTTTAATATTAATGGAATTATCTGGAATGCAAAAGGGATACAATCCACGACATCCCTCTGGGTAACAAAAAAACTTGTACTGTAGATTCATACTTCAACATACATATGCACTTACTGACAACACAAACACGTGAAAATTAGAATAAAAATTCAAAAAAAAAATCAAAACGATCACGACTAACCCCACGTACCCCTGGTTCATCCACTTGTCCTTCATGATGGTTTCGAGGCTGGCCCGCTTGGTGGGGTTCAGCACGAGGAACTTCTTGAGCAGGTTCTCGCAATCGGTGCTCATGTAGAACGGGATGCGGTACTTCCCCCGCAGCACGCGCTCGCGCAGTTCGCGCAGCGTCGAGCCGTCGAACGGAAGGCTGCCCGACACGAGCGTGTACAGGATCACGCCCAGCGACCACACGTCCACCTCGGGGCCGTCGTATTTTTTACCCTGCAGAATAAATAAAAAAAAAATAAATACACTGCGTAGGATTTTTAAGTATCGAAAAAAAACAAAAAAATTGGGGGAAAAACTATTTTTTCCGTTTGTTCCCAGGCCTTGGAAAAATTGGCTTTTTTTGGGAAAAATTGTTTTTTTTGGAAATATACACATTTTAAATTTTAAAAAAATATCCTTTATTATGGAAAAAAAACTAAATAAATTAAATTGATTTAAGAAAATAAAAATAAACGTTAAATATACAGGGTGTTATGTAATATGTTAAAATGGGTAGTTCCTTAGGGTCCATAAAGAAGCCCCTGAAACTCTTTTTTCTAAATTCTAAAGACTAAAAATAATTTATAATAACTAGGGATGGGATTTTAGTTATTTTACCTTTTTTCAACCGATGTATTTGAAAACCAATAATGCCAAAATGTGTTTTAAAAGATTTTCTTTTATATGAACCTAACTTGTTTTCACTTTTTTTACCTTTTTTGAAGGTTTTTGCTTTAAACTACCTTTTTTATACTTTTGTTACCCATTTTTTTATAACTTGTTTTCACCTTTTTTACCTTTTTTGGAGGTTTTTGCTTTAAACTACCTTTTTATACTTTTGTTACATATTTTTTAATTTGTCAGTTTATTTTCAGATATTTGTTACCTATTTTTACGTATTTTTACTTATTTTATTTTTTGTGTTCTTTTTAAATTTTGCGCCAATATTTTATCCAGGGCGTGCAACTCAACGGTATAGCATTTTTTCTTATGGTTACAGACTGTAACAGTAACTTTCTTTACAGTTACCTTCTTTGTAGTGAGCTTATGTTCTGTCATAGAACTTTTGTGTAGTGAGTGTCACTCAGTGAAACACAGTTTATTGCATAGAGATAGTTTATTGTGGATATGCTCTGTGTTTGGGTATGCAGCTTAACAAAATTATAAACGAAACTTTTAATGTTTTTTTACCTAAAATGCTGTTTTTTTTAACCTAAAATGCTTTTTTTTAGTACCTTTTTAGTTACCTATTTTTCAGTTTTTAGTACCTAAATATCCCATCTTTAATAATAACATTTATCCTACCAAAAAGTACGCCACTTATCGACTAGGAACTTAAGGCTAATCTGTTTGCCTACTTTAATTTATTATGTTGTGGTTGGTAACAACCAGCGTTTTCAGATTCTGTCAAAAAAGTTGCCAAATTTTATTTAAATTTAATTTAATTACAAAAATGACAAAATCAACAATGCAAATTGTTAATTTGGCGTTTTTATTAATTGTTTATTATGTCATTTTTGTAATGAAGGTAAATTCAAAAAAAATCTGGCAACTTTTATGACAAAATCTAATGCATTTCTTTCAAATTTTAGGTTATTTGCTTAAATTGTAAATATCTTAACCCGGACAGGTGGGGTCTTGTAGACCCCACGTTAATGTTAGGCGCCATTATTTTTGTATTTTTGTGCTTGTGGGCGTACGCGTTTCAGTAGCCTCCCCTTAGGTATCCTTCTAGCTAATGCGAACCGCAGTTTAGTTTTTATTGCGATTTCGTCGACCGTTTACGTGACAATTTTATAGAACTTTGCTGGTTAGTCATTTTGTAAATTTTGATCAAATTTGTGATATAATGTATTACAAATATGATGAAAATTCACAATTCAATATTTGTTTTTAAGAATTATGGCTAGTAACACCTACAAAAATGAACAAAAGCGTCTCTTAGAACTTTGGGCAGAGCTAGATGAAGAAAAAGAATAAACTTATTATTTTTTTACTGTATAATTTTTAATTTTATTTTTAGATATTTTATAATGAATTGTGTGTCTAAGTTTTTGTTTTTCCTTGCATATTCATTGTATTTGTAATGAATCAGATTTAATTTAGTTTTTATTTATAAAAAAAATAAATGATATTTTCCTAAAAATGAGTGTACTGAATTTTGTATTTATTATTAACGCAGTTGTCTGTAATTTTATTACCGAAATCTATAGAGTTTTATTTAACTAAAATATAAGAAAAATACTTTGTCAGCATGAAAGTTACAAATTAAGAATAATACAAAATATACTATACACAAAAAAGACTAAAAAGGCAGATCTGAAGAAAACTATAAATATATATTTTTTTAATAAAAAAGATTTAAGCCATGATCGATATAGTTTTAATTGCCATGATCCTAACATATTAATTTTTTTTTAAATACCCAAAAATTAAATTTGGACACAAATACACGCAGATAGATTTGGGGTCCATTGGACCCCACCTGACCGATCTCGTAACTTTTGGTCACCTGTCCGTTGCCGGGTTAACTAAGGGAAGTGCTTTTGGATTTATTTACACAAATTGAATATTTAAAGTTTAACCTGTGAACCTGTCCTAATTTCATCTGAGTAAGGTACTAAATTTTCAAATCATTGCTTAAGCTAATAGCTGGATTAGTAAATAAATACAGAAGGGTATTAGAGCTTTAAGGGCATAAAACTTTTGTATTTATTGAGTTTTTATTTAATTTTCGCAAGAAAAATTTTTAGTAACAATTTTTTACAACTGGCAACAAGCAGCTACTTTGTTGGTTGGTATCTATGTACTCACAGAACCAGTGGCGTATCACAAAAAATATAAAAAACCTCTAATGCATCTTTTTTTCTTAACTTTGGGAAAATATTTTTCCGTTACACCTTATGTCAAAATTATTCAGTATTTTAATATATTACATTAATTAAATAACAACACCCTGTACTGTCGGTTGGGTCTTTTTTGCAAAAAGGAGTCCATTAAAAATATCCAATTACAAAATAATGAAGTAAAGTTAAATTACAAAATTATAATTTTATAAATCGAAGTGTCAAATAAAACGAAAGTTGTGTTAAAACAGCAACGAATATGTTTTTTGCGTCCCGGTAGAATATTGTTACTTAATTAAAATAAAAGGAATAATTATTATAATCATATTATATGATCAGCGTCGGAAATTCACTTTTTTCTAGATAAGAGATATGAGAAAAATCGTCTTTTAAATTTTTTTCCTTTAAATAAAATGAAAAAATCGGAAAAAATGAAAAAATGAAAAAATCGGAAAAAATGCAAGTACATTTTTCTAAAATTTACAACTTTTTCCTGTTTTTCCGGAAATTTTAAAACTCTAACACTGCGATACAAAAAAAAAACGAAAAAATTGGGACATAACAGGGTTTTTCTGCTTTTCCACGGGTCTTGGAAAAATTTGTTTTAAAAATCCGATAATTTTTTACCAACTTTTATAATTTAATCAAATAAAAGAAATATTTGATTTTTTTAAGTTAGTATCTTGTAAATTATATTACAAATAATAAATAAAAATAATAAAAAAACAACATATTTTACTATAAGTCAAGACTTTTTCAACCCTGGTTTTAATATTATTCACGATTTTTAGGCTAACAGAATATAAAAATAAGTTATTTATAACAAATTTGAAAAAATCTATTTTAATTATACTGTTACTCCCACATTCACAAACCTTTCTAAAAATAGAAATTTAATTAGAATAATTTACTTATTTGAATGGTGAGGAACTGAGATAATAGCGTCCGAAAATATCTGTGATTCCTTTGTTACTTTAATGAATATTTTTTCTTTATTTTCGATAAAATAAGTAAAATTGTTGGTTGGTTTCTTGTTGACTGGCGATTATTGCAACCATGCAACTTTGTAGAGATTTATAAAGTGTGTTTGCAGAGTTCTGTATTGTTTTGAATAGTTTAATTTAGTATCTTTTCGCATTTTTTATTGCTTACAAATATTTTCAAAAGGTGGTCCTACATTTAAAAAGTGTGTTTGCATAGTTCTGTATTGTTAATTTAGTATTTTTCCTCATTTTTTTATTGCTTGCAAATATTTTCAAAAGGTGGACCTAGATTTAAAAGTATATTAATAATAATAATAATAATATTTATTTATTTCAAAATAATTTGTGCTAATGCAAATAAATTTGATTTGGACTTTTTTAATGGCAGTTTAGGAACTTTTAAACACAACATTAGAGATAAGTTACTTAATTATAATCTGTAAATATCATTTTTGTGCGCTTCATATGCTTGTAAATGTATGTAAATATTTTGTAAACTGGTTAATCCTTTAATAAAGTTATTATTATTATTATTAATAATTTAATTTAATATATTTCCGCATTTGTATTGCTTACAAATATTTTTAAAAGGTGGTCTTTAAAAAATGTGTTTGCCGAGTTTTGTATTGTTTTGAATAATTTAATTTAGTATTTTTCCGCATTTTTTATTGCTTACAAATATTTTCAAAAGGTGGTCCAAGATTTAAAAAGTATGTTTGCAGAGTTTTGTATTGTTTTGAATAAATTAATTTAGTATCTTTCCTCATTTTTTATTGCTTACAAATATTTTCAAAAGGTGGTCCTAGATTTAAAAAGTGTGTTTGCAGAGTTTTGTATTGTATTGAATAATTTAATTTAGTATCTTTCCGCATTTTGTATTGCTTTCAAATATTTTCAAAAGGTGGTCCTACATATAAAAAGTGTGTTTGCATAGTTCTGTATTGTTTTGAATAATTTAATTTAGTATGTTTCGGCATTTTTTATTGCTTGCAAATATTTTTAAAGGGTGGACCTAGATTTTAAAGTGTATTTGCGGAGTTCTTCATTGTTTTGAATAATTTAATTTAATATCTTTCCGTATTTGTATTGCTTACAAATATTTTCAAAAGGTGGTCCAAGATTTAAACAGTGTGTTTGTTATTGCTTACAAATATTTTCAAAAGGTGGTCCTAGATTTAAAAAGTGTGTTTAGAGTTCTATTATGTTTTAAATTATTTAATTTAGTATCTTTCCGCATTTTTTAATGCTTACAAATATTTTTAAAAGGCGGACCTAGATTTAAAAGTGTATTTGCGGAGTTCTTCATTGTTTTGAATAATTTAATTTAATATCTTTCCGCATTTGCATTGCTTACAAATATTTTCAAAAGGTGGTCTAACATTTAAAAAGTGTGTTTGCAGAGTTCTGTATTGTTTGAATAATTTAATTTAGTATATTTTCGAATTTTTTATTGCTTACAAATATTTTTAAAAGGTGGACCTACATTTAAAAAGTGTGTTTGCAGAGTTCTTTATTGTTTTAAATAATTTAATTTAGTACCTTTCCGCATTTTTTACATTACATTAATACATACATTTAACTATTTTTTTTAATTGTGAGGGTTGGTTCTATGTTCCATAACACAATTAATAAGAGAGGAAACTTTTTTTTAAAAGTAAATAAATAAATTAAAAAGTAGTGGAGTAGTGGATACATTTAAAAAGAGTGTTTGCAGAGTTCTTTATTGTTTTGAATAATTTAATTTAGTACCTTTCCGCATTTTTTTTACCCCATTACATTAATACATACATTTAACTATTTTTTTTAATTGAGAGGGTTGGTTGAACCAACTTGGTTCTATGTTCCATAACACAATTAATAATTTTTTTAGATGACTGTAAAAAAATTCAAGTGGATATTAAGAATTTAGAATCTTGGTGCAGTGATAATTGTATGTCTTTAAATATTAGCAAATGCAAAGTAATAAATTTTTTTAGGATAAAAAATAAAATAAATTTTTCTTATAGTATTAATGATGTTATTTTAGAAAATGTAAATGTAATTAAGGATCTGGGTGTTTATTTTGATTCTAAGGTTACATTTAACGAACATATAAATATTATAAGTAATAGAGTTTTAAAAATGTAAGGTTTTGTTAAACGGAACTTAAAAGATTTTAATGATGTGATGTGTATAAAAAATGTGTATTTTTCATTTGTTCAAAGTATTTTGGAATATGGTTGTGTAGTATGGTCTCCTCACTACTTAACTTATTGTATGCAAATCGAAAGAGTACAAAATAAATTTTTAAGATTTTGTGCATTTAAATTAAATTTAATTATTGATGACTATGATTATGCACAATTGAGACACTTGATTAATGTTGATACCCTAAGCAAAAGAAGGGATAAATTTGATATGCATTTCCTATTTAAACTTTTAAATGGGATTATAGATAGCCCTGAATTGCTTGGCAGAATTAATTTTCAAGTGCCTCAGTTAAGACTAAGAAATAAAAATCTTTTTTATATATGTCACCACAATACAAATAGACCAGTGCAGAAGCCTTTAAAAATGGTAAAAAGAGAAAAAAAATAACAGTAGGATGAAACCCATTGGAAAAGGAGGGGAATATAATTAAAGTTAAAGGAAAAATAAATTACGGGCGATCTGAGTTCGGGAAGTGGGAGGGGGGGGTTTTTAAGGGTAAAAAATGGTTTATCTCGATTTCCGGCAAAACTACAAGTCCTATGGAAAAAAAATAAATGTCAAAGTTGTAGGTGATAAAAAGATCTACAACTTTTGTATTTACAATTTTTTCACATAACCTCAAAATTTATGTGAAAAATTCAAAAAACCAAGTTTTTGGTTTTTTATTTTTATCTTTTTCAAAAAAAATTTTTTTTCCACGAAATTTTGTGAAAACTTACCTTTTTATGTCCCAAATACACTGTAATTTATTTGATTTGAAATATTTATTATTTCGCCTTATTTTGACTTAATATTAAAAAAGCACCCTAATTTTCAATCGAAAATTCTCGCGTCAAAATATCAGCTTTTTTCAAAAAGTCGGTGTGCTTTTTGTTCGATGAACTCTCTACTTTTTTTGAAAAAGATAAAAATAAAAAACCAAAAACTTGGTTTTTTGAATTTTTCACATAAATTTTGAGGTTATGTAAAAAAATTGTAATTACAAAAGTTGTAGATCCTTTTATTACCTACAACTTTGCCATTTAACTTTTTTCCATAGGACTTGTAGTTTTGCCGGAAATCGAGATAAACCATTTTTTACCCTTAAACCCCCCCCCCTCCCCCGTCCCACTTCCCGAAGTCAGATCGCCCGTAATTTATTTTTCCTTTCATTTTTATTATATTCTTCTCCTTTTCAAATGGGTTTCATCCTACTGTTATTTTTTTTGGTTTCAAAAATTATCGACCCTGGTCTAAAACTATGGTTATTATGCACCATTACATAGAATGTGCAGAAATGCAAATACTTTAAATGTAGATTTCTTTGGCAATACTCTCTAGTCCTTCAAAAGGTCTTTAATGTAAAATTGTAATGATTATTTTTGTTTATATCTAATGGTTAATCCGTCAATAAAGATATTTATTTATTTATTTATTTAAGAGAGGGAACTTTTTTTTAAAAGTAAATAAATAAATTAAAAAGTCTATAAATTATACTACTAAAGGGTGTATCAATAAGAGTGCAAGATTTCAAAGTTTAGTAAAACATGGTTTTAAGTATTAAAGCCTTGAAATATTTATTGATTTATAAAGTACACATTTGGAAATTATGTATAAAATAACACATCTGGTAAATGGCCACCACGGCTTAACTGGCACAAGCGTATTCTTTTGGCAAAATTTGCAATAACATTATTGAATACCTGTGGCGGTATTTCGTTGATAGAGCGTCTAATTTCTGCTTTTAAGCCTTCGATGGTGGCGGGCTTGTTGGCATAAACTTGTGACTTCAAATAACCCCACAGCCAAAAGTCCAAGGGTGTTAAATAGTGGTGAAAATGGGCCTCATCACTGAAAATGATTTTGTCCGCAAAATCGGCATTCACTTCTTGCTGCTCAAGGATCCAATTGGCGAACTCTCTTCGCTGCTCATGGTCTTTTGGCTGGAGTTGTTGAGTCAATTGGACTTTGTAGGCATGAAGATGCAAATCTTAAGTAAGAATTTGCTAAAGAGTGGCTTTTGTAATGTCCAATTCTTGTGCACGATGGCAAATCGACGTCTCTGGACTCTCGGCCACACTCTCGCGAACTGCTGCGATATTTTGTTCTGAAAGAGCTCGTGTTGTGTGTTTCACATCACTAACAGAAGCAGTGCTTTCAAATTTTTCGATTATTTTTTTTTACAGTAGATGAATTAGGAACATTATTTTGAAAAAATATTGGACGCCCTTTACGAATCGTGGCAATGAAACTTTCATCATTTTGATAATAGTGTTTAACAATCAGAACGGGTTGTTCTATCGTGTAATGCTCCATATTTACAAACTCCCATCTGTCTCCTATCAATCTGTCATGTCATTAATCATGTGACATCATGGTTGCCAAACTGAGGCGATATTCAAATCTTGCGCTCTTATTGATACACCCTTTATAAGGAGAAAATGACCAGTTTTTTCGTGTAAATTTTGATAACAAAACTAGTAAAAAGATATTTGAAACATGGGATCTGGTGGACTGGGGCGCTTACCTGGAAGAGCTCGGGCGCCGCGTAGGGCGGACTGCCGCAGAAGGTGTCTAGCTTGCTGCCGGGCGTGAACTCGTTGGAAAATCCGAAGTCGGCTATTTTGATGTTCATCTCGCTGTCGAGCAGCAGATTCTCAGCCTTCAAGTCTCTGTGTATGATCCGCTTCTGGTGGCAGTACTGCACCGCCGACACGATCTGCCTGAACTTGGCGCGCGCCTCCTTCTCCTTCATCCTGCCGTGCAGCACGAGGTAGTCGAACACCTCGCCGCCCGACGCGTACTCCATCACCAGGTACAAAGTCTTTTCCGTCTCGATCACTTGGAACAGCTTCACTATGTTCGGATGGTCCAGCATTTTCATTATCCTTACCTAAGAACAAGCGAAAAAAAACACACTTTAGTTTAAACATTTAGAAACTTTTATATTTCTTGAAATAAAAAGTGTTAAAATAGTTATCTATGCCTTTAGGCGAATAAGTGAGTCTTTTTGTTTTTGTTTTAGTCGATTATAAAATAAAAGTAAACAGATAATAGTTATTTTTCTACTCCTATTATGGAATATGACTGTGAAATTCCGTACATAATATATGGGTCGTTTTCAAAAAACACCCGCCTTCCGCTGTCCGTAAGTTTGAATTCCAATAACTTTCTTAAAAATTACAAGCCCTTAGTAAACTCTTTCAGAAAATGTTGGTTTAGTTATTTCAGAATATTTTTTTTTTAATTTTGAAACTTGTGAAACACACATTTTCGCATGTCCCATTGGCGCTTTATAAAACTTACATACATGTTTTTTTTAAATATTGAATAACCAGAAGTTTGTGTTGCTTTATAGCAATCCATAACATCCTTAGTTAATAAAGTAAACAATTTATATATAATCTAATTAATTTTAATCTACTTTTTTTAAATTTTACTCATGTCCCAGACATTTTTTCCGTTGCGTTACGTCCGTCGCGTTACCGATAGAATATTTAAAAAACATATATATGGCAACTTTTTTGGCACTCACGTGATTAACAAATGATGTTCGGACGTACACATTACCCAGCTGAATTTATTTATTCAATCAGGAAGAAGATATCGGTTGAAACAGGTGCGGGTAACGCGAATGTAATAATTGTTTGTCCGCTAAGTTACTCAAAAAAATAATAAAAATAAGGTAAGAAAAAATACTATTTTTCATGTTTATGTTTATTTTAGGGCACTAAACCTCATTGAGAGTAAGTAATGACTGAAACTCCTGATATAGATTACATCCAAGGGAAAATTCCACGCAATATATATACAAGTATTAAAGACACCAGCTTATAGTCAAAGAAAAAGAGTGTCTATAATTTAGAAATCTAAGTTGTTATTCTGCAAGCGAGCACCACTACAAGGGATTTTGTTTATGCATTACTCTAAAATCGTACCACCCTTTATAGTTTCTTTTTTACGTTATCTGATTAAGTCCTTTGTGTACCCCAGTCCGTTGTGATACCAATGTCTATTTCGTTACTTTTTTTTAGTTTTTGTTAAAAAAAAATCCTTAAAATGATTTTACTATCACTTGGTAATACCTGTTTATAAATTAGAGTTTAACTCACTAATACAGTGACTAAAAGAAAATATTAATGGTATTGTTTTTTTAACAAAGAATCGGAATGGAACTAACATAAATATTTAAAAAAGGCATACAATTTTTAATAAAAAATAAAATTGGAGTCAAAAGTTTGTGAACTATGTACATTTTGTTTCAAATTATTTTTATAACATCTTTTTTTATTGAATTAAATTTTGGATTTCAAATTGGTAACACAGTGGAGACATATAAAGCTAGCTAAACACATTTTTCTGAAAAAAACGTAAAAAAAATTAAAAAGTGCACTGCCTGTCTTAAATATAAGTAAACAAAACTCTAAACATTTATAAAAATCCAACCAAAAGTCAATTTAAGCAAAAAAATTTGATCTTTATTTTCCTGAAAGCGGGTGTTTCTTTAAAATGACCCATATATATTATATTCTTTAAAGTGTTACGGATAACGGAATAAACACTGGTGGCGACATCTAAAAACTTTTAAACCGATCCAACCTCACTTTCTCCCAAGTCAATTATTTGTCTATGATATTTGTTGGAAACGTAGAAAAAGTATAGTCTCAAACAAATTCCGTGTGACAAACTTTTCACTGGAGCAGAATATGCCGTATCCTAAACTTGTTACAGAATATACTATTACGTGTGAAACTTTGTAAATTACTCTTTACGGGCGAGCTGGAATAATATAAAGAAAAGATAAATTGCAAACAGTGACACACGTGTACAAACTTTTATTTTCACCTTCTTAGTAAATGCATTTTATAGGTTAATTTTGTTGTTTTTGTTAGCAAGTAAACGATAAATTAATGGAACAGACCTGTAATTTGTTTTTCTACAAGCCTTTTAAATTTCAGGTCTTTTATACAAGCCCGTAAAAAATTACAGAAACAACAAAATAAACCTATAAAATGTCATTTACTGAGTAGGTATAAATAAAAACTTCTATAAGGCCAGTTGTAAGTTGTCAGTCATTGGCCGATTTAATCATTCGGACGGTTCTAACCTCACTTTATATTTTTAATAATTGTACGTTTCATGTACCGGTTAACAAATAAAATTGGCTTTAAATTTTGAAAAACATATTACATTGAAGATAAAATGTTCTATGCCCAGAAGGCATTTTTGTGTTTTGCTCAATTGTAGGGCTCCACTATGAGTCGGCCATCAAACTTTGAGCTCAATACAAAGAGACTTCTTGGCCTAATGACATAAATAACTATAAACCAAATAAAGCAGTTTTAACTTAAAAAAATGTTTAGAATTAACCCAGCTATCATCTGCCAAAGTTTATCATACACCCTGTATAAATAAATATAAGAAACACCTAAATTTTCGATTTTTTTACTAATCATGTTTATTACAGTAACTGATAATTAACACATATTCAATTTAAAAACAACAGTTAAACTAACAAGGCTATCTGTTGGTTACATTTTTATTTCTGTTTAAAATATATAAGTTATGTAAATGAATGTAAAAAGTAATTATTAATATTACGAAACTACTTTAAATAACCCTTCATTAATAGTATATTATGTATCAAGTTTTATAAACGCCATTTTATTTACGAGTTTTATTAGGCTTGCGAGCTACGACGAACAGAAATAAGAATTTCAATCCAATTTTATTTTATAAATATTTGACATTTGACGAAGTTAACTTGACTTTTCGCAATTTATAATAAAGCTAACTTCAGCCCGTGACTAAAATGCCCAAAAGCCACTGTTGCTAACTTCAGCCCGTGACTAAAACGTCATAAAGTCACAGCTCGTCAATGTAGGAGTACAAAACAAAAGTTTTTAAATAATATTAGTTTTTACTATTTAGCAGTTTATTAACCCCACGGGTTATTGTCCAATGAGACGACGACATTTTACTTTTCTCCACGGTAGTATTAATCATTACGATGACGATTATACGGTTCATTGTTTTCTTAAAAAATAATTGACATTGTCATTTGTCGTAAATTTTGTGTTTGTGATAATCGTAGAAAAGTGTATTAAATTATTTGATAAAATTACCTTGTATATTGTGTATTGTGAGCATTGTGCTGAGGCACTAACCAACCCTGCCTGAGCTACTTATAAAACCTTAATAAGTTTTATTCAATAAAAAGCGCGTGGTACTACTCACTTTTCCAAAAATGGTTTAATCTTAATTTTCTGTTAAATTTATTTTAAAATAGTATACAGACTACATGGGTAATCAAAATGTACTTAAAATATTTGATTTGTAATTGTATCCCAAGCAATAAAAATATGTTTGCAGAAACATGTAATTTACATTGACCTTTAAATAGTAGTTAGTCTCTGTTGTATTACACAGAAAAGGCCAGGTATTTTTTACTACTAAAATTGCTAGGTAAATATTTTATTTTATTGTTATCTATTTTAAGAAACAAATGCTGTGCAGAGTAGGGAACACGCCCAATTAAAATTTGTATTTGAATTTTCCTTTATCTATTATTTGTTTCCTTTAAAAATTAACGCGGTCTTCTTTGGAATACAATCATTCGCGATAAAATTCAAAGAATGATTAAATCGGTTTCGAAAACAATCATGTCCATGCATATGTTTGATTTAAATGGACGCGTTCGTTATTCCATTCGCCAGGAGTTAATATAAATTACTAAGCATGTAATGTATGCATCATGCACAGCCTCAAAACCTATCAACTTTACTGAGTGACTCATAGCCTGAAATAATGATTTTTGCGACAAAGGCTTTATGTAACTTGATGATGATAACCATATTAATAATTATGATTCTGCCAGTCGACCATTAAATTGTGTTTGGGTTGTTAGAAAAGAATTAAGGTGCTTTAAGTAATAATTTAAAATCTAATTTTAAATATGAATTGGCACACATTATTTCTTAATTGATAATATAATTTAATAAACCTTATTTAAATTAAAAAGAGCCAAATTGTATATTTAATAATTATTAATTGTATATATTAAATATTAATGAATAAAATTTAAAAAAAAACAAAGTAAAATAATTAAGAGTAAGGCAAGCAAGAGTTGGGTAAAAATTCTCAACTGGTTTAATTTATGTATTTTTTAGTTCCAAAATCCAAATTTCGTGCTTTTTCATTCTTAAGTGAAAACATGTGATTTCAAAAATGTTGCGTTCCAAAAGTATTTTTTTACTAAATGAAATGCTTTTTTGAACAAACTTTTTTAATGTACTCATAATTGCAAATATTAAATTTCAGTGAATTTATTCGCGTTATGGAATTTCCGAGTTCTGGGAATATTTGGCAAAGTGAATTTCTCGGAATAACTGCATCCAACTAGTTTATTAAAATGGTGCAAAACTTTTGAAATGTTTTTATTGATTCCATGAATATTTTGATAAATATTCATATTAATTTAACCATGCAAATTTTGTAATGAATGCCATTTGCAAATTCATATAGACTTTTATGAAGTGTAATTTGTTTACTAAATAACAACAATAATTAAGGAAATTTTTCAACATTTAATTGACTCAATAAACAGTAACTATTGCAAAATGAATTTATTTTAAAATCTTTTGTTAAAATTGCTTGTCTTGAAATTTACAAAAAAGTTTCACAATACAATACAAATTGTATTAAATTCAAGGTGATTTTTAAAGGGTATTCCACCCTGTAGAACTCAAGGAATTGTTGTTGTAAAAATCTAATAAAATCACTTACTTCTCTAAATAATTTCTGTAGTGACCCAGGAGTGAGTTGAGTCTTATCAATAATCTTAATTGCTACTTCTTTGCCTGTCGGCACATGTTTGGCCAGTTTGACTTTGGCAAAATTGCCTTTTCCTATTGTTTTAAGTAATTTGTATTTGCCAATTGTTGGTTCCTCTCCAATCCGAGGCCTGTTTCTTGTCGATGCCGAACTACTTCGGGTCGACTCCACTGTGCTGTCATTGCTCTGAAAAGAAAAAATAAACTGTGAGATTTTGATTAACTTTCTTAATTTCCTAAGCATTTAATGCTAGTCCCGAAAGGGTTTGTCAGAGTTGTCACATTGTTAAATAAAATTAAAAATATAAGGATGGGGGTGGAAAATATGAGAATTGATAAGTAATATTTAAAATAATACTTTCCTGTAATTTCGGATTTGTGGCATATAAATTAATAATAATTATTAAATAAATAAAATGACGCTTGTGCTGACATAACCTACAAATTTAAAGGCATTGTTTACAAACAAAAAATACTACAGTTTTATGGTATACGACGTTATTTTAAGTATATACATTATAAAGTTACAAACCCAAATAGTCATTTTGGATGGGGATGGTTTTAAAAGGCACTTTGGACCATTAAATCACGAATCAAAACCAAAAAATGCTAAATTTAATGATCTGTCAACATTTTCAGGTAACAGCTGATTTGGGTGCAATGTTGCCAAATTTTTAATTATCAGTAGTGGCGACATCTGTATCCCTTGTTTTGGAGCGCTTATTTAAACGAATACATTTTTTGTAGATAAATCATATTAATTTAATTAAAATTCGGCGATTAGTTATTTTGAGGTCAACAATATTAAATAGGTAATGAACGTGTTTTTACGGCACGTTGTGGGCGCTATAGCTAATAAATATGCAATAACCAAAACCTAGGAACAATATAATTAATAAAATTGTATTTTGTATTTTCATTTTGTACAAAATTAATCCCAAGTTTACTTGCTTGGTGCTGTAATCAAAAATTAAATAAACACCTTAATTAATTTTTGTTATCTGAGACTTTATTTACAAACTTTGTAACCTTTTTAATAAAATTTATATTTTTATCATCGAAAAACTTATTTATCTGAATACCTTGTTGTTGGCTTTTGTACCCATCCTGGCTTTTATCGTCGGTTTTCTTTGTACAGTTTTGTTGGGTTGCACATCTGAGGTGGCCCTGTTCAGTGGCTGCTTGACGATATTTTTGCGTTGTTTTTTGTCTTCCTGTAGAGTTCTGCGCACGTTTGAGTCCCTTTTAAAGTGATCCGCCTCGTCAGGTTCTGCGTCACTTTGGTAACGAGCCTGGATATCCTCGATCTCGCTGCAGTGCTTGATTGGGGATAAAATTTCGTCGTCCGATTTCAGGGCCTCCTGCGACTGAGGGGGGTCGTTGACCATGATCGTTTTGTTGGTGAGTTTGGGGTTTTTCTTGATCAATTCGTCGAATTTTTTCAGGTTGTCCGTGTGTCTTTCTTCGTTGTTCAGCCTGCTGATGATGCTTTCGACATTTAGGAGGTGTTGACTGGCTTCATCGCTGTTCATTTTGGCTTCTTTGCGATCTAATATCAATTTGAGGGCGATGTTTTGTATGGGTTCTTCCGGTGGGGTTACTTTGTAGACGTTTTTGGTCCACCGCGACGTCTTAGGGGAGGTGAGAGGCGACGTAATTTTAGGTCTCACTTGGTTCGCGGCCGAGGAGAGACTTTTGTAGCCTATTAAAGCGTTTTCTTGTTTGTTTAAGTCGTTAGTGGCATTACTGTTGTTGTTAAGCAACTTTTCAGGTGGCAGCGGAGACGATTTAACGTTACTTTGTCTGTGTTCCATGACTTCTTGTTGACTGCCCATATCCGTTACGGATTTTCTTCGAACGATATCGTTCTTCTGGCGACTTTCCTCGCTCAAAGGTAGCTTCACAGGTTTGCTAAAGGTGTTTCTCCATCTATCGTTGTAGTTCGTCGTCGAGTTGGCACTGCGCCTTTGCTCCAAATAAGTCAGGCTGTTTCTGAGCTGCGATGCGCCAGAGACTGTTCTTTTGTTTCGTAGGTCCGCTTCCTGGTCGCACATAATTCGAAAATCTACGGAAAAATTAGCACTGAAATTTCCGTGTGGGTATCGAACATGGCACAAAAAGCTAGAAGCTGGCACAAATTGGGACAACACATAAAACTTTTTATCAGCTTATCTATTATTCACCTGATAACTTAAAATAACTTCATTTTTTGGCGACACTTTAATCACTACGGGCGGACGAGCCACGACTTACTGAGGCACTTATCACACACAAGTCAGGTTGTTTGTAGAAATTTTTAATCAAACAGATCGCGCATCGATTTAATCAAGTCGACGGAGGAGAGACAAGAGATCGCGGCGGCCGTGTGCTACGCGGACAAAGTTTGCGGCGGCTATACGTACGCAGAGCCCGTTACCAAGGTCGATTGCAATTGTTAATGCTACGATATTTTATTATTATTATTATAATGACGACGGTGCACAGTGTGCAGCTAACGCTTTTTTTTCATTAAACTGTGTTTCCTGTAGTCTATTCAAGTTATTATTATTCTTAAGCCGGTCATACATCTGACGAAAGTTTCCATTCGTTCGCATTGCCAGCAATCGCATCCGCTCGCAGCTTTGCTCGAAACGGGAGCGAACGTTTCTAGGGGCTTCCCACATATACGAAAAGTTTCTAGCGTTTGCAGTAGTTCGCAGTCTTTCAGTCTTTCCATGCATTCGTCAGTCTGTACACGCCGTTTCGAAATGTCCAGTAAACAAGTAGTTTGGTTTATTTATATATATAAAAAATTATTTATATATATAAAAATTAAAATTATTACAAAACATTGGCAAAGCGTGGAAATTTTGGATGAGTAGACAAATATACGGTTAGATAACTGATAATATAAGTAGGTATGCTATCGATGGTTATTATTAGTATTATTACCGATAATTAAGCTACCGATATACTACATATACACGACAACAGTGACTGTCAACAACTGATTAAAGCAAGAATTTTTGCTTGTATTAATTCTTCTCGCCTACATATAAACGTTCGCATTCGTTCGCAGGTAGGATTTCCCTTTGATCTTTTTAAATAAACCGACAACCGATGGAGCGCTTTCGTTCGCATTGCTACCCATTTTCTTCGCCTCTGCTCGCCGCGAATCCTCTCCTACACCTGACAAAAATTCGTCGGCAACGCGAACGAATGCAAACTTTCGTCAGATGTATGACCGGCTTTAGGTTTTACCTCAACATTCTAAAATATTCCACAACGTTTTTTTTAAGATAAGGCTGATTTTATGGTAAGATAAAAATTCATAACAGGAAAAGCATTAGGAAAACAAATAATATGTATCAAGTTTGATAAACGCCATTTTATACACGAATTTAATTTAGGCACGAGCGAGCTTGCGAGCGGGTGCTTAAATTACTTATTATCATCTTAAAATGATTTAAATCAAAAATTTGTATAGAGCGCCATCTATGAAACAATAAGGGAATCTCTGTGTCACCGTCAAATGTCAAATTTTTATAATTATAAACACAATTATAAGGGTTATAAATCGAAATGTATTTCTTGAAAATTGACAGTTTTTCACAGTGAAAGTAAAGAAAATGTTTAATAAGCACTTTACAGTGGAGTCCGTGCCCAAATTTAAGTTATAGTTTACTGCCGGCGGAATTAAAAGGTCAGTACAATGTTCATATAAACTTTTCAAATATTGGCGTTAAGAAACTATTTAATACTTTGAGATAATAAATTAATTTTCACATCTAGCATTATTTTACAAGAAAGGCAATTTATTTTAACGATTGTATGACATTTGACAACTGTCAACTAACTTAAAACTAACTTCAGCCCGTGACTAAAAACCTGTTGCTAACTTCAGCCCGTGACTAAAGCGCCATAAAGCCACAACTTGTGTATTTAAAAGGTCACTTAGTGTCATGGAAACATGTACGATAAAGGGCGTTTTAAAGGTGGGAGTAGAAAAACAAATTTAAATTAGGCACAAGCATCTAGAAAAGTTTATAAACGAGTTGCATCCTAAACTTTTTCTACAAAAAATACCTATTATTATCTAAAAATTTAAATTGATTAATTAAATTTAAATTAAATATTTGTATAGAGCGACATCTATAAAAAAATAGAGTAACCAACTTGGGAATCCGTTTTACCGGCACGCCGGTGAAAATGTCAAATTTTTATTTGTAAATCGAAATGTATCCCTTGAAAATGGACTAACAACAGTTTTTAACAGTGAATGTGAAGAAAATGTTTTATGGGCATTTCACGGTGGAGTCTCCACCCGAAATTAAGTTAAATCTAGTTTACTGCCTGCGAAATTAAAAGGTCAGTACAATGTTCATATAAACTTTTCAAATATTGGCGTTGAGAAACTATTTAATACTCTTGTATTTTTGTATTGAGATAATAAAATAATTTCCACATTTAGTATCATTTTACAAGAAAGGCACTTTATTCTAACGATTGTATGACATTTGACAACTGTCAACTAACTTAAAATTAACTCCAGCCAGTGACTAAAAACCTGTTGCTAACTTCAGCCCGTGACTAAAAGGTCATAAAGCCACAACTTGTCAATGTGTTTTTAAATGGTCACTTGATGTCATGGAAACATTTACGATGGCGTTTAAAGGTGGCAGTAAAACTATAAACTGTATACTGTATACAGGGTGTTATAGAAAACACTTCGGTAATTCTAGGATATTAATTCATTTTTTTCTTAAATCTTAAAATTAAAAAAAAAGCTGACAACGCAGCATGAAGTCATGAAGATCAGATAGCGTAGTGCATAATATAAATAACCTTAATTTTACTGTCAGATACATAACCTAAATTTTACTGAAAGAGTCAGAATCCTAACCTCAATTCAATAAATGTGAAAAATACCTACGATTTTTTGTTATTCATGCCCTTTGTTGTCGGATTTATATTTTGTTTTAATATCGATTATATTTAATTAAATTACAAATGGAGAATAATTATTGACCAAAATGCATAATATTTTTTGTTACAAATTGCTTACTGAAAATTATAATTTAATTGTGTTTTCTATAACACCCTCTATATAAACCTTAGATTTTTCATAACCAATGTTAATTTATGTGTACTTAATTTCTAACCTATCATTTTTAACCTATCACGTTTCACAAAAGTGCGCATACATATAATATCTTCTAAGTATAATATACATATTTAATATGTATACGTAAAGTGACCACATCAAAAATGTCAAAATCCGGGACAAAGCCAAAAAAAATCCGCCAAAAGCGGAAAAGTCCGCGGCAGGCGCATTTTGTCGATACAAAGGCGAAAATAATTCTGTGGAAAAGGGGGAAATGGGAGGGGAAGGTCGAGAAAACAGAAAATCGTTTACATTAATCATCATTCAAATAATATAATAGGCACTTCATTCCAAAATGCAGAATTTTATACCTATATTAAAATATATATTTATATATTTGAAAATTACTCGTTTTCAAACACATTTTTGTACAAATATACAACTTAATACAACTTACAAATACTTTTCTGTCGACTGAATTTTCCGCAGAAGATCATCCTGTACAGAATTATAAAATTCTTCACATTTTAATAATTCCACGGACAGTAGTAGTGTTTTTTCTGAGGTCCAGGAAACATAGGAACAAGCATAATTCTACAATTCTTTTAATTTTATGAAAGGGAACATTTTGGGCGCGAAAATATTGAAAAATCTCAACCCATCTTTTGTCAATGGAAACTTAAGTTAAATTTATTTTCAGTCCATTGAGTCAATTTTTCTGAAGTATTCTGAGCGGCCGAAACTGTTTTTATTTTATTTTGTGAACAATTATAAGTTTTACAAATTTGTAACTCTATTTTATTTTTTGTCAGATTTCTCGTAAATCGACATAGTGATTAACCGCAAAATCCGGGACGTTTCCGGAACATTTACTCTTGCGGGACATGTTGATAAAATCCGGGACTGTCCCGCAAAATCCGGGACGAATGGTCACTTTATACATGAATACGTATATGAACAGTGGCGGACACGAAATTTTGACTATCATCTCTTTGACATCAAAATCAAAACTTCCTTTTATGGACAACTAACCTTACTTTCGGTTGTCACTAGTCTTGTAATTTTGACAGCGAAAGCAAAAATGCATTTAATATATACATATAATAATGCATTTAATATAATATATATATATATATAATAATATATATATATATAATATAATATATATAATAATGCATTTAATATATATAATATTTATATACAGTGTGTCCGTAAAGTCCCGGAACATGTGATTATTTTGAAAACGGTATTTTTTTTAAAAAAACGCTGAAACACGTCAACTTTGGTATTTTTCTAGCAATATTTTAGCATATGTAGTTATTCCAAAATCTGCCGCGTAGCGGCGCCCCAATCGAAGTAAGGTTTTTTTAAATTACCTACAACCCTTAATTTTTGTTGCATTTTTGGATAGCTACCGTCGTCCTGAGTACATTGATATGCTACATGTGGAGGGTTACATAAGAAAATTTTTGAGAAAAGTAGGTTTTTGCCGCTGATTAAGATTTTCGTTTTGACGAACTTATTCGCTGTTACGGGGCACTATGCATTGCTAGTAAGGGATTATTTAAATCAGGTCTTTCCCAATCGCTGGATAGGTCAAAGGGGTCAAATTGAGTGGCCAGCGCGATCGCCCGATTTGAACCCTTTAGACTTCTTTTTATGGGGACCTCTTAAAAACCGCGTCTATGTAAACAAGCCTTAAAATTTGGACGACCTAAGACACCGCATTCAAGCCGAGATCCAGATGATCACTCCAGCGGTACTGGCAAACGTACAACGCTCGTTTGTAGACAGGCTGTTCCATTTCCAAATAGTTTACGGTGGACACTTTGAGCAACTGCTCTGATTGGCTTTCCAAAAAACATTAAGCAACGCATAGATTGTGTAAGTTTGACAAAATACCAAAATCTCATTCGGCAGCAAAAACCTGATTTTCTCAAAAATTTTCTTATGTAACCCCCCAGATGTGGCACATCAATGTAATCAGGACATCGGTAGCTATCCAAAAATGCAACAAAAATAAAGGGTTGCAATTTAAAAAAAACTGACTTTGATTGTGGCGCCGCCACGCGGCAGAATTTGGATCAACTACATATGCTAAAATATTGCTAGAAAAATATCAAAGTTGGCGTGTTTCAGCGTTTTTTAAAAAAAATTACCGTTTTCAAAATAATCACATGTTCCGGGACTTTACGTTATTTACAGATTTATACATAGACAACCAAAATATGACGTTCAAAATTCCGAATCCACCACTGCATCTTATAAGATATTTAATATTCAATAACTGTAAATAGAAAATTACAAAAAATATTTGAAGACAAAAAGAACTACCAAACAATTTTTTTTTTAATTTAATAATTAATTGATCAATGTTTTAGTTCATGCGTAATCTTAAGTGACTGTTATTGGAAATACTTAAGTGGATTGATAAGTAAAATTTATTGTTCAATTGCTCTATTTTTTTTCATTTGGTTCTAAACTAATCCATAATTTAATTAGGGATTTTTTGGTTTATATAAATAAACAAACTAATACAAATAATCCCTCCTACTTTATTTAGTCTTTTTGGTCAAAATATTAAAATTATATCAATTTTTAATATTTAAAATTCTACACAATTTAAGCATAAATGTGTCCAAGCCCAAATAAACAAAAAAACATTATACTAATAGGATTTTTTAAGTTTAGGTATTATTCGTTATTTTGGTACTGTGCGTAGATGACAATAATGAGTTTATGCATGCATGGTTTTTCAGGCGTGCCACTACTGAAACATTAGCCGAAAATTTGTTACGCCGACAAACAGCCATATTGCATGTAGGCAATATTTCCGCTCGATTAAGACTAAAACAGTACGAATTCGTTACTACACGCCTCTTTATAAATTACATCCTAAGCATATAGCTTTAAAATTTGTATCTTAAATCAACCTTTTTTTTGTTCAAATTGTTATATTGAACTTAATTTAATAAGGAAACATTTGATATCTCATAAATATGTATGTGTCAATAATTATTCTTAGAAATATCAGAGGAAGTTAACACAGTGACTCATTTTTATGTTTTTTAAAGTGTTCCTAATCAACTTTATACAACAGAGTATTGCAAAATTGGTAAAACAACTAAAAATTTAAAAGGTTTTGCTTTTACAAATTATTATATTTTAGCTTCAAGCGTTCTATAATTATAATTTAAACTTTATTATTGTTGTAAATGATTATCGCCTAGGCTGACCAATCGGGTAAAGTTTTTTTACCTCCTAGTCTGTAAAAAACGGTTTGGACCAATAAAAAAAATTGATAACTGTCAGATTTACCTAACCTTATTTTCTACTTTTTATAATTAGGTATTATAAATGTACGTTTTAGAGCTCAGCATAAAAAGACACAAAAATAAATATTATTATAATGTTACATAGAAAATCAACGCTATTGTTTAATAATTATCAACCAATTACTAATAAAGATTAGATAATAAATAACTGTAAAAATAAAACCAACAATTACTTTTTTTAAAACAATAATGTACAATTAAAAATAATTAACTAGATAGTTAAATAGTTCTCAGACTAACAATTAAGTATACAGAATCAGAAGTAGCTCAATTTTATAATCAAAACAAAAATTATTATGATTAACAAACAAACGTAAAATAATATTATCTTTGTAATTATTTTAATGCCAAAACAAAATTAATTTTGAAAATCGTGTAGGTACACAACTTCCTTTATTAGCATTATTTAAAAAAAAAAAATTCCAATGATTTATAAAACCAATCAGTTCAATCCAGTTGATGTTGCAATAGGTATAACGATGTGAAAATTATTTAAATTAATTATTTTAATCAAGGCCAACTTACTAGAAAAATGATATAAACACGTTATAGATATGGTAATTTTGTATAGGCAACTCAGAATACAAACGTGTATACTTTGCCTACATTTACTATTATATCCTTTGTGCACTATTTTAGCGCTATTTATTAATGTGGTTACATCCAATTAAAAGCAATAAAAGTTCAGCACGTTTCACAAAAAAACTCAAAGTTTTCCATAATGCATAAAAACAATAAGTTTAATATGTTTACATATATAAAAATAATAAGCAATAAAAATGTTGATTCGTTATACATGATTGTTTGGGTATTCCTGATTGGAAAATGCTTCGAATTCTTTTCTTATCGAAAATTTTAACGCAAAAATAATCAAAGGGTGATAAATGTTTTTAGTTTGTTTTTATGAAACGTGGTACCAACATGGGCAATTCAAAGAGTAGTAATATGGTGGTAAACAGTGAAAAAAATTGCGACAAAGTAGAAAATGATGAAGATTTAAGTGCTGTTAATAGTGGTAATGATATAGAAAACACAAGTGTTATTGTTATTGGAGATATTTTGGAAACTGTGGACAACTCTGATACTACAGAAAATATTGAAGATATAAATGTAATTAGTAAAGCAATTTCAGAAATTGATATTAAAAATACAGGCAGTGGCAATATTGGTGAAGCTATTTTGGAATCTGAAAGTTTAAAATCGATTATTGTAGAAGATAATATAGAAAATATTGACAGAAGTGTGGTTAATATTGGCGAGGATCTTCCGGGAACTAAATCGATTAATACCAGACACAAATCATGCAAGGAAAGTGGGAAAACTTTTCGAGGAAAGCCTGGTGAAAGGAGGAATTCAATTTACAGCGAAATGCAAAATTTAATAATGGAAAATGTTCTTTACAGATCGCCCTTGTGTTGTTGTACTTACAGGGCAAGGAACCAGCATTTAAAGCGAAATTTTTGTGAGAAATTGTGTCTTTTTAGACCCACTTTGTCTAACGACGAGGTGACAGTGTTTTTACTGGTAAAAAACCACGAGTTATCCAACGGGATAACAGAGAACAAGAATAAATCCTTAAAGGACTATGATTTCGTTACAATAAAAACCGTTTTGGACGAAGTGGAATATAAATCACCATGTTGTGGCTGTAAATTGACTTCAGAAAAGTTAAAAAACTGTTTTTGGAGGCTCATAAGCAATTTATGTTGCTTTAACCCGCTGGTGATGAGAAAAATCCACGCTTTTTTCGACGTCAAAAAATTTATCGGCAAAAATAAAAAACCGACCGCGTAAAGATAAATACTATTGTATAATAAGTTTAAGTAAGTTTTTGTATGTTTTTTAAATAAAAATACTTGACATAATGTTTTATTTAACTTTAAATTGTAAACAAGTCTTAAAAGTTTTAATTGGATCCATTCAAAATAAAACTTTCTTTTATTCATTCAAAAGTCCCAAATATAAAAAATAAATTATAAAAACAATTCTAAAATTAATTTTAATAAAGTTTGAATATTGCTTTTCCAATTCCAAATTTAGGTACAACTATAAATGGAGGGCTATAAAACTAAAAGTTATAATTAAATTACTGTCTGACATTAGTCTATATGATTTTAATTAACAAACTAGTTTAAACCGGGTTTTAGTCTATGAATGAACTTTACTTGAATTAAAGGTGACTATTTACATACATAGCCACAATAAAATATATCTACTCATATTGCATAATATTGTTTTTTTGTTGTGAATGATAAACATAATAAATTTCCTGCATAACAACGGGAATAATAAAGGCATCAGTGATTGGCCGATTTCAATATTCACTGTGATTTAAACCAATCGGTTTTTAAATTGGAAGAAGGCGACTATAATAACATTTTAAGTGAGGTTAACCATTTGACAGATGTCAGTTTTTATTTACTTATTTTGAAAATTATTTAATTATATACTTAGAGTATTACACTCGTATTACACTTCGTACAATAATGTACTATTATTTAGTCAATTATATTTTAAAACCATGGTTTTCAAATTATTTAAATACTAAATAATAAACGGGGTTTTTGTAAAATTCCTTGGGTCAAAATAGGCCAATTAAAGTCACCTTAAAATTTCTTCAAATGTATTTAAGTAGTACACAAAAATACACTGCCCGTCAAAAATTAACGCATAATAAGTAAAAAAATTCTAACTCTAAAACGCCTTTACCAATCTTTATGAAAATTTGTGTATAAATACTTTTAAGGCCCTTTTATTTAATAATAAAAAAATGTTTGAAAAATAACTTTTTTAAGCAAATAAAAAATATGCTGTTAAAGACCGTATTTTTGTTAGTATACCCTGAAAATTTTGCACAAATCAAACGAACAGTAACGAAGATACAGCGCTTCAAAGTCGGTAAAAATAACCCCTTTTTGGTTATTTTGCTGAAAAGTGAATTTTTTTACCTATTATGCGTTAATTTTGACGGGCAGTGTATAAAAAAATAAAATACCCCAGTTGAAAGGATGTTTCCTTTTAATTTCCTCCTTTTTTGACGTACCCACATTTTTTTTAGGTTTGTAATGAGGTTCCAAGGTAAAACATCATGAAAATATATTGTTCAAAGTTTTTGTCCCGCTGGTTTAAAGTTCAAACCAAAAAACCAAATTTAATGGCTACATCTTTAATGGAGACTCTTCATACGCGGAATTTCCCACCAATTTCTAAAAATCTTTAATTCGGAGAAAAATTTCAATTAGCACAGATTAACCCAAGATAATAAAAATGGAACCAAACAAATCTTTCGCTTCCATTTTTCAGACATTTAAAGTCACGAAAAATATAAAACTCTTTTAAACGCCCGTAAGTATCGGGAGAGCATGAAGTCGCAGAGGTTACGTCATTTTTTAAAGTGACTGTGCTTATGCACTTATGTAAGGGAGAGATGGAAATAAATTAATCCAATTGGATATCAAACTTAGAAACAATAAGGTTAGTAAAAATGATATAACTAAACAGTAACTAGTCGGTAACTAGTTGGTAAATAGTCAGTTACCAGTCGGTAAGTAGTTGGTAACTTCTCAGTAACAAGTCACTGGTAATCAGTAACTAGTTTGTAACTGGGAAATTGTATACATTTGTAACAGAAAATCATGAAATAATCAATGATATAATAACAAAACACTTTTAATAATTATTTTAAAACTCGATCACTACTCTCTAAAAATGACTAATTGTCATAACGAAAAAGGAGCCACTAATAATTCTCGTCAACAGCAATTTGTATTCCGGACATTTAGCAGTGAATGTCTATGTAAATTTGTCCGCTAAATCAAAAAAAGTCGTCAAAAGTTATAAAAGTAAAACAGTTTTTGAGATAAAGTCAATTTTCTATAAAATATGGAATTGACCAAATCTAAAAAACTGCTCTACTTTCATAATTTGTGACGGACAATTTTACACAAGAATTGACTGTTAAATGTCCGGAATACACAGTTATTAGTGGCTGCTTTTTCACTTTGAAAACTAGTCATTTTTGACTAATTCATTGACATCTCCTTCAAAAGTTTTTACTTTAATAAATTGCTTGTAAAGGTAAGGCACAAACAATTTTTTGTTATGCTAAAACTTTAATTGAATTTTGAAGATTGGTTCAAGTGTCCCACGGTGCGAGTCCCAACTTGTAAGGTCTTCCTGATAAATAAACAAAAAAGTTAAAATCTAATTTTAAAATAATAAAAAAAGAAACAACAAACTTTATTTTTTAAACTTGTAAACCGTGTATAAAGTTTGTATTGAATGTTCCCGGCGAATCCGCCATTTTTGCAACTTTGTACAAATCGTATTACCAAACAAATAAATTATCGCATCATGAAACAAAAGTCGTGTGAAATGCATTTACCCTGAAATTTCTCCATTTTTAAAACAAAGAAGAAGTTTGAATTAGCTTGAATGAGAAGCCTTTTTAGTGGCGAACGGTCACGGCATTTAATTGGGTCACAGAGGGCGAATGATATCATAAAAAACGTAAAAAAGCAACCGAAATTGTATTCCGTGATATTGTTCAGCTTTTTCAAAGGAAGACGCTTATTGCCTATTATCATGATGCTTTTATTTTTTTATAGATAGCTATTATACCTATATGTTCGATAACGAAATTGCATTTTCGCCCTGAGACTAGCAGGCAATTTTAATTATGCGAAAAAAAAATTGTTTGAGGAGATTCGGGCACGATTTAGTCGCTATGAAAAAATTTTGAAAAAATTCTAGGTTGTAGTAGAGTCTACTTAAAAGAAATTAGAAAAATTGACCGTCTGGTTTCCGAGTAAAAAAATATTAGTTGCTAAAACTACATGGGATATCGTTTATAATTCCTGAACTGTGTTGTGAATGTTAACAAAAATGTATATGCCAATTCTACTGGTATAAGTGCATACGAAAAAAAAAATCATCGATATCTTATTGTCATATATGATTTATTCTTATATGCGTTAATTGAATACATCTTCTATACAGCCCATGTCTTTAATAAATGCATATATTTTAACGTGACATTGAAAAATTAATGATTTTCTTCTCGTATACACTTATGCATGTAAAAGAGTTTTGCAATAATAAACGATAATGTTGACTGTGTTTAACCAAAATTATCAATTTTTCATTCTCGTCAAGAAGATTTTAAATAACACTGCATATAGAACTGTCACTGACACTGTCAAAAAGTGAAAAGCGTTACCATAGAAACCCAGTTTCAACAACCCGCAACGTTGTCGCCTTTAAATCCTAATAAACTCTTTATAAAAATGAGTTTTTAGAAAAGTTTTTAAACGAGTTGCATATTATACTTTTTCTACGATGAATATTATTACGAAACATATTTTTTTAATAATCAGTTCTAATTTTATAGAGCATAGAATTTTCCTTAAAAAGTCCGATATAGAAGCAGTTTTTACAGTGATAGTGAAGAGGATTTTTTTGTAGGTACTTCACCCGAAATAATTAAATCTGAGGCATCGCCAACTTCTAGTTTGTTGCCGGCAAAATCAAAAGGTCGGTACAAATTTCCAAACAAGCTTTTTTTAGATTGGCGTCAAGAAAATATCCAATAATTTGTTGTAATTGTAATTTGTTTTGAGATAATAAAATAATTCCCAAATTTTATAAAATAGTATTATTTCACAAGAAGGGCACTTTACTTGATGCGATATTAAATTTAAATACTAATAAAAACGTTTTTGCTAATAAATTAAATATATTAACTTATTAAGCAAATGGTTTGCCGTATAAAAGGAAATTAATAACTAAAACTTTACTTTTGGGGTTTTGATATACATAAGCTTGCTTATATTTAATATTAAGTACGTTAAGTTTTAAGTTATATAACGTAGCTATATAATGTTAAGTTAAACTTAAATACTTGGATGAAACCAATATATTCAAGTAAATGTTTGTCTTCAAAACTACTAATTTATAACATAAAACCACTTTTAGGTTATATTTTCATACCGTACTTTGACAGTAAAAGTATATAGACAGTATATAATAGACCGAGTGCATCCAAACTTTTTAAGTAACTGAATCATCTTTAACAATGCAATCCTGACAGAACTTTCTAAACAATAAACTTGTTTATAGTGTGTCCCACAGAACATACGGGTGTGTCCCAGGATTGACTAAGATAGGTGTAATATACCAAAGAAATATTACGCCTTTCATTTTCTGCAGTCTAGGGCCGACACTCTCGGCCTGCTTGACCTAAAATAAATTTTTCGTGCGGTTTTGCCATAGTCCCTATCGACTTGAATCAGTTCATTGTCTTTAAGAATGAGAACTTTTTTTTACATAAGCCGTTTTCTTATACCCTATTTACTTGAAGGATTTTGTTTAAAATTAATTTTAATCTTTAGGGTATCAGCTAATAATTTTCGCCGCGTTCGTTACATTGAACGAATTTTTTTACTATAGTTTTGTTACAGCCTTGAGAAACTATTAAATTAAATTATTAAGATCTTGTTTACAGTATTCTGAATGTTAAGAACAGATAAGTCAATGTAATTATTTTTATTCAAAATGTTTGCTTGCGAGCGAGTGTTTAATAAAAACGAGTGTCTAGAAAAGTTTATAAACGAGTTGCATACTATACTTTATCTACGACGAACACAAAATGGAATTTAAAGCCAATTTTATTTCTTACAAATTTGACATCTGGTCACCCTAATACAACAGGGTTGTATGATAAAAAACCGAAAAATTTGAGTTTATGCTTCTAAACGAGGTGCATACTATACTTTTTCTACGACAAATACTTATTATTATCTTAAAATGATTTAAATCAAAAATTTGTGTAGAGCGCCATCTATGAAACAATAGGGGAATCTGTGTGTCACCGTCAAATGTAAAATTTTTAGATTTTATAAACACAATTATAAAGGTTATAAATCGAAATGTATTTCTTGAAAATTGACAGTTTCATTCAATTCACAGTGAAAGTAAAGAAAATGTTTTATGAGCACTTTACAGTGGAGTCCGTGCCCGAATTTAAGTTATAGTTTACTGCCGGCGAAATTAAAAGGTTAGTACAATGTTCATATAAACTTTTCAAATATTGGCGTTGAGAAACTATTTAATACTTTTGTATTTTTGTATTGAGATAATAAGATAATTTTCACATTTAGTAATACCTATTTTACAAGAAAGGCAATCTATTTTAAAGATTTTATGACATTTGACAAATGTCAACCAACTTAAAACTAACTTGTGACTAAAAATCTGTTGCTATCTTCAGCCCGTGACTAAAGCGCCATAAAGCCACAACTTGTCAATGTGTACTTAAAAGATCACTTAGTGTCATGGAAACATGTACGATAAAGGGCGTTTTAAAAGTGGGAGTAGAAAAAGTAAATTTATGTTTATGTGGAACCAAATAATCCATTTAAACTTCATTAATTATATTTTTGTCTGAAAAAATAATGATTGTCCTTGCATACTCAATTAATTTGGTTGGTTTGGATGTCAAGGTCGTTATACATTTAATCTATATCAAACATGTGTGTAAAAAACAAAAACATTTCCATTTAATAAAAAAAAGTATCTAAATGTTTGCTTATTTAATTTTTTAATTACAAAATATTGATTATTGTTTAATTGCATGGAAACAGATCAAAATATACCTATCAACTATGTGACTGTCAAAAAATGAAGACTTACGGGTTTCTTTTTGTTATTTTTGGTCCTCGGCCGATGCCTGCCGTATGCCAGCCTTTCGGCCAAATTAAACCAAGGCATCTCGATCGCAAATCACAAACGCAGCACATGGAAATCGCAGCAACATATCGACTAATTGTAAGTAAGTAGCTTACTTGATTTATCAGCTTGATGAGTGCGTTTAAACAGTTTAGACAGACTCGCCAATAAATTCGTTTGCTTGTTCGTTAATCTCACATTGTATCTAATGCTGCTTTCGTAAACTGCTTCGACTATAATAATTCGGACGTCAGGGGTTATCTCACGTAATAAAAGTTCGGATAATTCTGCCTCTTTAATTAATCTTTTTCGCTCAAGGTCCTTTTAGCCAGCGTTTTTTGTTCTTTTATTTTAGGGTGTTTTTTGTTTAGTGTTAGCCTTAGAAGCTACCATTATATAGGGTGGTTCAAAAGTAATGAGACAGAGCAGCGGCCTTATACAAAAGTTGATAATAATAAAGATACAGGGTGTCAAGTTTTAATTTTGTTTTCGATTTGGGTTTTATTGAGGCTAGGAATACTGTTTTAAAATTTACGAAAAAATTGAGCCGGCGAAAAAAAACCGTTAAAAAAACGAAAAAATTGCAAAATTTTCAGAAAAATCGATTTCTTCATTTTTTAAATTTTATTTAAAGGGTAATACGAAAAAATGCAAGTCAATTTTTTTGAAAATTTCCAAATTTTTACGGATAATATCCGTACACTGCATGATATCCGGAAAGAAGTGAATTTCCGACGCTGATTATAATCATAATATTATGATTATAATAATTATTCCATTATTTTAATTTAGTAAGAATATTCTACCGGCCGCAAAAAAACATATTCAGTGCCGTATTAACATAACTTTTATTAAAAACTTTGATTTATAAAATTATAATTTATATTTTTTTATATTTTTAATTAATTAATTTTTGCAAAAAAAACAACCCACTGTTTTTTTTGTAATAAAGGATATTTTTTTAATTAAAATATTGTTAAGCTGTTTATTGAGCAATCATTTGAAAAAAAGTAGCACTACTTTTTTTCAAATGTGTACCTATATTTTTCAAAGAAGAGAATTTTCCAAGGCCTGGAAAAAAACGATAAATAAATAGGTTTTTCCCCAATTTTAAAACCCCACACGTCTGTATAAAGTTTCATTTAGATGACAACTTTTTTAAGCTTATTATATTACCGTACTTCTTTTACTTCAAAACGGTTTATAGCAATTAATATTATTTATACAGTCGGCCTTGATTTAAAAACATTAATGACGGTTGACACTTGTTAATTGTGATAGTTATTTTGCTATAAACTATTTTACATTTTATGAGCATTATGCCTTGATATAATTTATTGTTAAATAAAGAAATTCCAGATATGTTGTATATTTAGTAAATACTATTTCCTCCCAAAAAATTTTAAGAGAAGGGGGTAGAATACAAATATCAATTAAAAATCTCAAATAGAAGGCAGCAAAACCACAAAATATTAAGAGAGAAACCGATTATTTTTTTATAAATTGAACTTAGATTTCTTTTAAAAAATGTACCAATAAATATAAGGAAAATATGTTCTTTATGCTCTCCATAAGAGTGCAAAATAATCTGCAGGAAACCGGTGGCTTGGCCGGCGCGGAGTTCGGATTTGACTCCTATGGATTTTTGTATTTTGGGTTTATTTAAAATATATTGTTTATGACAGTTTGATCACAAAGATAAACTGCTTGATTGTCGATCCTCCTCTGATAATGCCGAAATTTTAATTATTTATGGGGAGTATGGGCGCAATGCTAGGGAAGCAGCACGAGTTTTTTCCAGCGCTTCTTAACGGAAAATAAAGATACATTTAATATTTTTTCACAAAAATTAAATAATTGATGAAAATAACTAAAATTTAAAATATTTATTTTTCATAAGTCAAGGTCCATATAAACACTAGTTCAAGTTCATTAGATAAATTTTTGTGCTTGTGAGTAATTTTCACACAAAAAACGTTTGATAAAACCCAGCAGCAATCCTTTCGGAAAACATATTTTATGGGCTCCCTGGCTTTAATTTGATGCAGAGCAATTTTAAGCTCAACTTTCTTGGAAATTGTGTTTCGAAGTAAATGAAGCCATTCTGTGCGGTTCGGGAAAATTAAAACATTCCATAAAAAGTGTTTTGCGCTGTACCGAATCGGAAATTAAATTCTAGGTATCTCGACTTATTTCAGTCAAAACTAAAAAAGTTGATAAATTTTAACGTTGAAAGGAATGTAATAAAAGTGGAAATAAACAAAAAATAAAAATTACATCTCGCAATATAAAGAGTGAATATTGAAATATTCAAAACTGCGTATCTTTTGCAGATACACGAAGAAATAAAAAAAGAATCCATTGATGCACAGAGTAATCATTTTATTTTCAATTCAAAATAATTAATGTGCAAAATATTGATCACTACAGTTTCTGACATTACTCGTTGATGTCGCAAAACTAACTATTGCACAGATTATAAAGGTTACTATTGATTATTACTATTAGTTATAAAGGTGACTATTCCTGTTGTAAAAGTAATCCGTAAGGTTTTAATATAAATTGTATGCATGCCACAACGGTATTGTTTATATTTTTGGATGGCGGATGTTAGTTGTGCTTATAATTTTTGGTGACAGTTATATTAACCAGTTAAATAGATAACGAGTATTTGGGTCACTCGTGTACGTTAAAAGATATTGTTCGGTTGTTACGGCAAAAAAGTTATAAAAAATGGTATTTTTACTTTATCTTTACATTCACTCTAAAGCAAGTAAATTAATATTTAAATTATTTATAACATTATACACATTTTTAGAAACATTACATATCATTAGGGTAAAGTACTAAAGCGGTTGTAGTTTTACTATATTTTTGTACTAATTAGATACTAATTGCAATGTACCTCAAAGGCTTTACAGAAAAACAATTTAGATTAACTACCTATATGTACAGGTTTGAAATTTAATTTACCACTGTTGGTACATTTACAAAATCGTTATATATTTATGTCATTAGGTCAAGATGTGAGTATTTAGTACAAAAATGGCATACAACATTTTATCTATAAGTGACGTTAGGTAGATCTGAGAGAAGTCTAATTTTTTGATTGGTTCAAAGTGGTAAATAATAAATTTTTACTTTACTTTTATTGAAACAGTTAAACTTCCTTGTACCTAATAGAAGGCAAACCTTAGTGATTCAATGTCCAAGTAGAAAATCTATGTCATATAAATTATTCTAGTCTTAGGGATGTATTGAAATATTTTTTATTGTAGTTATATTTATTTTATATAACACTTCTTGTTTATTTATATGTTTAATACCGTTTTTCTACTCCCCCTTTAAAACGCCCATTATCGTACATGTTTCCATAACACTAAGTGACCTTTTAAATAAACATTGACAAGTTGTGGCTTTATGGCATTTTAGTCACGGGCTGAAGTTAGAAACAGGTTTTTAGTCACGGTCTAAAGTTAGTTTTAAGTTAGTTGACAGTTGTCAAATGTCAT